GCTTTGCATCTGGAGACCCAATGCGCAATTTGCATAAGCGCAATGAATGCCCCCTAATTGTTCTATGTCTGCAAGCACCTCCCGTTAATCGGCCTCCAGCTGAAGCTCTCCGCTGCGAGTGAGCCTGAAACAGTTGCGCCCACGATCTCACCACAGCAACGGTCACCAACACACTCGCGTGCAGTGTGTGCGAAACCCATCGCTTCCCACTCCTCTTGTGCACAGAATTCCCAAATCAGCTCTCTCCTGCAGTCACACATAACAGCCCCTCTTGGAGGAACGCCCCTGCGCGCGGCTAGAAAATGGAATGCAATTCAGAGCGTCCCGTCGTGGGAAGCACCAAGCTTTGGCAAGGAGGAGATTTTCCCCAAACAACAAAGTAGTGTAGGAAGTGGACGCCCCTAACTATGTACAAGCATGCTACACACACACACACACACACACCCCCACAATGCAGCACATGGGGAGGCAAACAAGCACCAACCTTATAGACTTCACCCGCGTAATCTCATTTCGCTGTGCTCGCGAGGCGAGCGCAACATCACTCAGAGACGGCCGCCACCGAGACCAGTTTGGAAAACAACCGTCCGCGTCCAACGCTGCTGCCTTGCCCCAGCCTCGGCCCCTTGCAGTTGCAAATGCATGCCCCCACCAATGATGTTCCAACACAATGCCAGCATGCAACACACCTTCGCCTTGGAATCGATGCTAGCTGCCGCGGCGGTGCACACAACACTACCCTCACACACCAAACCCCCAAGACATCTTTGTACACAACTGAGAAAGGGCTTGCAAAGAACCCGGAAACATCTTTGTCGGGGTGAGAGCGAGGCAAGCCTCTCCCCCGCGTACTTTGACTGCTCGCTAGACAGAAATGACTAATCGTTGCCCCCTCTCCGCGAGAACGATTCCCTTCAGTGGCTATCGCGGAGGTGGCTGTGGCGAGGTTGGTTTCGGCCGAGAGAAAAGGGGGAAATGACGATCCTCCACAGCCCGAGTTGCCTGCCAAGTTTCCCCACTCCTATTGAGCAGATACCGTGCAGCCGGTAGCCTCTATTCCCCCACGCTTCGTTTATGTTCTTAACATCTAGAGTATTATGTACTTCTTTCAAGGGAATTTTGCCGCTGCCTGCAAAAAACCCGACACTTTTCAATGCACACGCACGAATGAGGCGAGGCAACACAAGTGCGTGAGCCTCCGCCACAATCAAAGGAGGAAAAAAAACCACACCCCACAAAGCACCCGTGCACAACACGACAACGCGAGATTCCATCACTAATGCACTTGGCTCTGGAAAAGCAACCGGTCCGCTACGGTTACAATTAAACTCCGATGCGAACCATCCAGGGAGACAAAAAAAAAAAGAGCGAACTTGCACGACGCGAGTGCACGTGTCAGTACTCCATATAATATATATATATATATATGTCATTTCTCTTTTTTTTTTTGTTCCGTACCTTGTTTGTCAAGGCACGGCTTTTTTCCTTTTTCTTTCATTAAGACATTGCATTTTTTCTACAAAAAGCTCTCAGGACGGGGGACAAACAGGCACGTCATCGTCCAGTGTGGCCCCCGGAAAAAAATGCACATGGCAACTCTCTGGCACCCATTCCCGCAAGTCTCACCCTGCAGAGAAAGAAGCGCGACAACAGGCTTGGATTTTAGTCCTTTTTTTTGTCTTTTTTTTTTTCATTTTTCTTCTCAACAGTACTGCGGGGTTGCGCCTGTTGCCCCCGCTCCCCCGAAACCATGGAGGGGAGGAGACGGGAAGGCGGGGCAAGCGTTTCCCCCAAATCTCACTAAAAAGCATAGCTTACAGATATATATATACTCAGGCACGAAAACACCCACACACGTACACATAACACACAGACCGACAATCTGTACACAGAACGAAAGCTAGGGAGAGAGAGAGACGAACATTCTTTTTTGTAATGGAGGGACGAACAAGGGCTACAAGAGGAGGTCATCCACCCTCATCTCCCCAGGCTTCGTCTATACTTTGGCCCCAGGCTACGTTGCCAAACTACACCAACTGTCCCCTCACATCGCTCCTTAATGTTTAATTTCTTTTAAACTGCATCGGGAACGTGCTGTGCAAGCGCACGTTGAGGCGACTTGTGTTAGCGTCGAGAAGCAAGACTTAAAATTACAAAAGAAAAAAAAATGCAACGTGCACTTCGGAAAGACCAACAAGAAAGCTCGAGCGACTTACTTCAAGGTGAGGAAAAAAAATACTTGCGGAACAAGGAGTGGCCGTGCATAGGGCAGAACGAGGCAGGCGCGACGAAGCCCCCCAGCTGCAACGTTTCACGGAAACGGGACGAACGAGTAACAACGAAAACGAGAAGTCAACCTTTTTGATCGCTGGTCTCTGGGGACTTTCGGAGAAAAGCGAAGCTTTCATGAGAGACAAGTATATAAAAGTGCATGCAAGATTAAGATAAGAAACACCAAAGTAACCACACTACCTGGTCACCGCAAGTTCATAGCTACAAGCAATCCTCACACCTCACTTTTTTAAGTACACACACAACAAAATGATTTGAGAAATGCCAAGACGATCTCCTGGCACCGAGAGCTGCCCCAAGTCAGATGGAAAAAAAAAGGCTTACACATAGCCACTGTGACCCGAAAATTAGAACTGAAAGCACCGACGGGGGACTGCAAAAATGTTGCCGCTTCTCCTTTGCCTGTGACAAAAAGCTGCTGCTTTACTATCTTTGCAACGAACTCTGGGAACACATGAAATTGATGTGGCCAAGTCGCAAGAGCCAAAGCACGCAAAGATTAAACAACCGACCACCGAGGAGACCACAACAAACTAGGACTAGCCGGTGTTAAAAAAACAGAGCAAGGACTGCAATGGCGCACAAAATGACATACACAGAGCGAGAGAGAAGAAAAGTTACAAAGAAACAAGGGTACAGGGATTGTGCTGTAAACTTCAATGCATTTCTACTGTGTGTTTTTTAAGTTTTGCCCGTTCCGACAACAAGAAAGGAAAATAAACACAAAGACAAGGCCGGGAAATGTATTGCACGTTTGCGCACAAGATGCATAGATTGCCACACCAGTGTGCCTGAGAAGAGGCATTGCGCTAGTATATATATATATAATATATATGTATTTATGTATATATAGAGAGAGATGTTGGGCCTTGTGTGTGTGTTTCTTGCGCTCCACAATACGACCCCTCTCCGCACACCCTGAAGCACTTTGTGGGAATTGCAGGACACGGAGGGCTGCAAGGGAGAGGAGGTGTTACACGAGTTGGGAGCCCCCCTGCATCATTTCTGGGAGCCTGTATACCAGTGGTGCCTCCCCCCCTCTGTTCCCCAGCACCCCCTCTCGACACGGAAGGGAGCAGGTGGGAGAGGAGGCTTGAGCTACTGATGCGTCCAAGAAGAAAAGGCGACCCTCAACGAGTGGAGTAGTGGAGCCGACATGTGCGCGTCTTTCAGAGGACCCCTTTGACAGGGAGTTGAGGAAAATGAGAGAGATAATAAAAACAGAGGGACACTCTCGCGATCACAGAGAGCAGTTGTTGACTGAGGGGAACTTTTGCGACCGCGACTGCTGCCGAGAGCAAGGATATGTGGAGACCCTTTCAGACTTCGTGTTCGTACGAATGGAAAGGAAAGAGTTCGCCGGCGGACAAGGCAGCGACGGCAGCACACCACAAGTTGCACGAGAATTACAGCACAGAACAAAAAAAAAAAAAAAAAAAAAAAAAAACAGGTCTACACGGGAATGGACACTCCCCTTTCAATGAACGACCCCGCATCCAGCAACGATTGATGCACACGTAGAGAGAAGCGAAAGGACGGGATATTACACGAGAGAGGAACAACACTTTGCTATTGACAGCACTGACCCCCGAGTTATTGCAAAGGTCGTGCGCGGCTGGACATTCGAATGAGGGGGGGGTTTGTGCCCGGTCCGCTTGGATATGTTGGTGCGGTGTGCATGCACGTGTTGCCGCTGCTGCCCCGCCAAAAGCTTGATCAGTCACAAATCAAGAGACGAGAAATTGGGCAGCACTCACAGATAGTTTGGAAAGAAAGCAGCCCTGCATATCAGAATGGCTGATTATGTTCGGCACATGCCAGCCCCAGAAAAGAAAGAAAAAAAAAAGACCTTGCTCTCCCCAACGTTGGGTGGGGACTTGCACACACACACAGACGAAAGAGCAACAACACATTAGAGAGCTACGGTAGCCGAGGCAGTTCATCAACACTCATCTAAGTCCCCCTAAGGCTTTATTTACGTGTCGCCTGCGCTTTCGAAGTAAAACCTTGTCCCCAACGAGGAATTACGGCAATAAATCTGGCACTTCATATATATATATATATATATATATATATATATATATATATATATATATATATATATATATATATATACACACACGCTGTTTTTTTTTTTTTTTGGTTTTCAACAGAGGCAAGCCCCAATGGCCGAGACTTCCCCCTTGTAGCATAAAGGGGCACAGGCGAAGGAAAAAAAAATTGCAGCACCGCTGTTCAAGTCACGGTCATTCTATTGGCCGGACGCAGTACGGAGATCGTCTTCATCAACGGAGGTCGCTTCTTGTTTGCCAACTGGGGCGAGACACAAAAGCCCCCACTGTGACGGCCGACGTGCTCTGGCGGAAGTCGTTGATTCGGCAACGTGGGCGTCGAGCGATTTGAGGGGGCGGGTCAAAAAAAAAAAACGCGCGAAACAATAAAAACAAGCGACCCGCAAAGAAAAAAAACACAATAGCAGCAGTGGGGAATGGTGACTACTACTGCAACACACACATAATAAAAACGATGTTTCACAAATAAAACTAATTCTGTCCATGAATGTATCACACTTTGGCAGTCGTCGCACACCGCTGACCCCTCCCCCCACTTTGTGCATGCCAGAAGACAAACTTCGTCGACGGTAATAAAAACTGAATAGACACGTTGTGCAGAAGAGCAAGTGTTCTCTTGTAGTTACCTTCATCTCTTTTTTTTTTTGGAATTTTTCCCAGTTTTTTTTTTCTTACATTCTTAGTCACGTGTAAAAGGTGGTCAATATATATATATATAATATATATGCATAATATCAATATATATATATATATCTTATGTGTGTGTGTATATACTATTTCTTCTACATCTTGATTGACTTCCCCACTCGTGACAACACAGGCAAGCATAACACAAATCACTCATGCACACACACGTACCCGCGACGAAACAAGACAATGAAAGAAGAAAAAAAAACTACGATAAAGGCGGTCTGTGTCGTCGTTTTGGCATAGGGGGGGCGCGCAGTGGCGGCGGCAGAGGAAGGGGGTCAGGGTTTGTGTGTGTAGCGGAGGAGAAATGGTGAAAGGGGGTGTGGGGGGTCATGCAAACGACACTAGACCAATAAAACGCACACACACACATAGAAGAGAGACCCAAGCAGCGGCTCCCGCTGCTTGCTTTCGAGGGGGGGCTGCGGCTCAGCATGGCTCGGCACCCCCTCCCCACAAAGAAGCGGTTATCACAAAAGGGGGCCGGCAAGGCACCGGCTCACGCATGCTGCTCCTCCTTTGTAGTTGTAGTAGTAGTTCCGGGTTTGTTTTTTTGTTTTGCTTTTTTTCGCTGCTGCGAGGAAGGGAAGGCCGTCACTCACATGGACTCGCCATTGAGCAGATCACCAGGCAGGAAATTGTTGAGCGACGACTGGGGCCCTCCGCTGTGATCGTGGTCAATCTGGTTGGAGCCACCGCTTCCACCGGCCTGGCTTGTCTGGGGCGCGGCCCACAGGCCCCCGCCAGCACCCGGGAAGGACCACAGATGGCTGGTGTTGGACGAAGAGACTGCGGCCGAGGACACCGAGGTAGGAGCGGCAGTGTTCCACGGCTCCGTGGTCTGCTTGGCGGGGCGGCTTGGAGCGAACTGAACGGGGCGCGGCGGGTGGTAGGCGTTTGTAGGGGCGCCCCAGCCTAGATGCTGGTGCTGCTGCTGCTGCTGAGACGAGGGGTGCTGCCCTAGGCCATTGCCGAGCTGCTGCAGGAACTGGGCCACCTCCACCTCATTAGGAATGTAAGCCACCATGGTTGTGTTGGAGAGGACGCAGTTGTGTAGCGCTGATTGGGCCTTGGAGGCCTCCTCGCACGTAGAGTACTGCGCCAGGGCCAGGCCGTGCTTGAGGAACAGGTGGAAGAGCTGCAGGGGCCCATGCTGCATGCACAGCGTCTTGAGCGTCGAGCCGTCAATCTGCGGCGTCAGGTTCTTGAGCACCAGGAAGTTGTTGTTGCCCGAGGAGGTCTGCTTCTGCTGCGGCGGCTCCCAGCCCGACGTGAGGCCTGGTGGTGGGCCACGAATCTTGGGCGCGGTGTTCCAGGGGTCCGGGTTAGGTGTCACGTGCTCTCCACCCCAGCTGCTTTTGGAGGCGTTGCTCTTGGAAGAGGCACCGCTTCCATTTCCGCTCCTGCACACATGCACGCACGCTGTTAGGCGTAGCTCAAGTATCCAACATGGAAAAACCTGCAAATGCACTGGCCACCTTTATGTGCTGTTGTCACAGGCCTGTGCAACTGCACTCACCCATGCATGGCGGGAGTGAATGCCCAGGTGCTGGAAGTGAGAGAGGCCAGAGAGGCGACCAGTGAGCCCTCCCCTCCTGGCGGGCTCTGCTTCCAGCCGCCAAAGAGCTCAGAGTCCTTGATGGTGTTGACTGACAGAGGCGAGCGCACTACACTGCCGGGTGTGAGGTGCGGGTCGTCCTCTGCACTCTTGAGGGCAGACGCGCCCTTCCAGGGTTTGCCCGGCTCGAACTCGGCTACGAGGTCGCTCAGGCTGTAGCCACCGACGCTGCCAGAGTCTTTGCCCTCAGTGGGAGAGGAAGTACCACCCGCGCAGCTAGTGGTAGGCGGTGCATCGGGCCATCCGTCCTGGGAGCAAGCCCCTGTGGACCATGGTCCGTCGGAGGCACCGAGGAAGGACGAGAGGCTGCCAGGCTTGGAAACTGGGCCCGGAGCACGACTGAAGTCGCCACCACTGCCACCATTCTGTTGTGGGGTCTTGTTCTCCTCGTCGAGGCTCGACGGCAGCTTCCACTGGTTGAGGCGGGACTGCTGCTGCTGCTGCTGCTGTTGCTGCTGCTGGTGTGACACAGCGTCCTTGAGTGTCAGGTCACGGAAGTCGGAGTGAAGGCCCTCGACCCCGCCGGGCTTGCCGGCTCCAAGGAAGTCCTGTGGTGTTGGGGGACCACCCAGTCCGGTGGGAGGCAGTGGAACATGAGGTGGCACCTGTATAAGTTAAATGTCCAAAAATAACTGCAGTTACCACATTGTTCTGAACAGTCTGCCATATAGAGGACACATTCACTTGAAGTGCATCTAAAGTACCGTAGAAATCAGAATATAGGTCGGAGTAGATTATAGGTCGACCCCCAAAACTTTGAATCCCCGAAAACGAAATATTTAAAAATCGCAAAGTGCCATAGCGCACCATTACCGTGGTAAGTATGTGACACAAACAGCTGAATTGTGGTGCAATTTACGCGCATAATTTGCGCCCTCACAAAATTCGCGCACCCCTAATATTTTGTCAGCTTTACGGCAAAAAAAAATTTACTCGCATATTTCGCGCTCCCCGACCCGTCCAAGCCAGCTCGCCGGTGCACACGCCTTTGAACCTTTTGATGCTTCGGCTGGGTGCGCGGCTCGCCAAGCGAGCGCAGTCGAACAGTCTGCCAGCGCGAAGTCCCTGCTTTCAAGGACTTCCCCAAACTAGGGTCCCTAGAATACTGCACCCGAACACTAACCCATCGCCGGAACAGCTTGAGCGTTTGCCTCCCCATCTCTCCCATTCTCCACCACCGCGATAATGGTGAGAATGCATGCTCACGGCACAGACGACTTTCTGCATCGGAGGCGTGCGAGGGCCTGTCGCACCAACTGTTCCTCTGTTGTTCAGGTCTGTGCTACAACGCACGCTTGGTCGATTTCGCAAGTTCAAGGGAGCACTTAGATCAAATTTCAAGATCGAGATGCGCCCATCAATCAATCACTTGGTACGCACGTCTCCTTGACCAAATTTCGATGGCGTCCGTTTCGGACAAACGTGTTTTGACCAACAAGAGGATGTTAGCTTAGGCGCTGATGCAAACTCTCCGTGACCACGGTGACAACAAATCTTAGGAGGTCGGCTTGCAACGCTCTTCTGTCTAGCGCCACGCGCTCGCAGGATGGTAGCTTTCGCGATTATAGTTCTGGCAACATGACGGCGCGTTGAATGCAATGCTATGAATGCGATAGCGAAAAGTTGTAATGTTATAACAAGTAAGGCTGGCAGCCAACTCTTTTGGATCCGATATCCCGGAACCCGTACAAAACGCTCGTGTGAACGAATACGGCCGCTCCAGGGAGAAGTGCTCGTTCAAGACAGGTGGTTTACTTTCTGTTTGAGCATTCGACGGTAGTTCTAACACGCCGGACATGTCACCTTATGCAGTTTCCAGGTGATATGGGACGAGCACACCCTGTTGATCTTTGCTACAGCAGCGCTCGCGCGCTTTTCCCCGCTCGTGAAAGTAATGATGCCCGGGGGCATGTTATCAATTTGGACGTGTTACGGACCATGGCGGCGACGGCAAAAACACGCAGAGAGTCCATAAAATTGCTATCGCAATAATAACGCAGTTTTTTACTGTAACATAAGCATTTTGGTTTAGCTCAGTGCTTTCAGTCCCCCTTTTGTTTAATTTTTGCATTTATTTTTCGAATTTTTCAGGCCGGACCTGCATATAACGAAGTTATCAATTTTGTTATATCCAGGTATAATTATCCCCCCCAAACAGTGATTATTGAGAGCTCTACAACAGGCTTGAAGCTTCCCTGCCTCCGGTAAACAACTGAACGTTGTAAACATTTTGCTCGCGGTAACATGGCCACAACTGCTGCAGAGCAACAGCCTACCTGTTGCGGGGGCTGCGGAGGCGGAGGCATCTGCTGCTTCAGGAAGAGTGCTTGCTGGGCGGCGATCTGGTTCTGCAGGTTGATGATGCGCTGCTTGGTCTGTGTGAGCTGCACGTTGACCTGCAGCGGGTTGGAGGTTGGCGCCTTGTGCCCTACCTGCTGCTGCTGCTGCAGCGCGTGCAGAACCTTGATCTGCTGCAGCAGCTGGTACAGCAGCTGCAGGGTTTGGGGAGCCAGCGGCTGGTTAAGAATCTGCAAAGAAAGGCTCGCATCAGCCATCTAGTAGACTCGATAAATCTACCGTATAAACCGGAATATAAGTCGAGATATTTTCAAATAAATACCGTATTCACTCGCGTAATCCTCGCACTCGCATAATTCTCGCACCCCCCACATCGCCCAACAAAAATACTTTTTTTTTTCATCGAGTAATTATTGCACCCCCGAAAATTGCCACAATAATGTCGTCTGCTCATTCCAGCAGTTGATGATGATAGTGCACGCCATCTGGCACCATCTCTTAAGCATCAAGCGTACTATTATTGCATGAAGATTCAATCCAAACCAAGCCAAGCCAAAGTGGCAAGTGCCCGTTGCGGCGTGTTTTGTATGTTGTGTCGGTAATCTTGTGGCGTTATGTGGCAATACTGAAGCTACACGACTGCTTTCAAGTTGAAAGTGATTGATCATGCACTAAACAACGGCAACAGGGCCGCCGGTAGGTCCTTTGAAGTCGACAAGTTTTGTGTTCGCTACTGGTGACGGCAGCTGAAAGCCACCAAGACGCGTTGGGCCTGCCGTGTGCGTAAGACTGAAATTGATGGTAAACTTTATTTCTTCCGAAGTAAACTGTGGACGATTCTGTTAAATAGCCATCAGCCCAATATTGACATCCTACGCTTACCTTTTGAGGGCTCCTGTTTAGCGACGAACACTACCACTACACCCGCAACGCCCACAAGCTTTGCGTATGGTTTCTCGACTGTTTGATTGTACTTTCTGTGTCTGAAATAAATCTTGCCCTGTGTTGAACCTCTGCTTTTATTGTTTAAGTAAATTTTAAGTAGTACTTCTCAAAGCTTGCTGTTAGTTGCTGGTGTGAGAATCCCGATTTGCGGCCACTTCGTTTTCTTGTTCGCTCTGTACGTTTTCGTGGAAAGTTCTCCCCGCGCAATTCTCGCACCCCCCAACTTTGCATCCGTTTTCCACCAAAAAAAGTGCGAGGATTATGCGAGTAAATACGGTAGTAAGCTAAAGTCGCCCCTTGTCTTATATAGCAGTGTCTAGCCGAAAGTGCGACGCTGTCAGGCAACATGTGGCTTGCATGTGCTTGTGAAGCCAAACACGGCCATATCCGTATCCAAATCCAATCGCAGTCTTTTTTTTTTTATTTGACTGTTTCCTTTGTGTTCGTGATTTGCTTCCGATCTGTTCCGATTTTTCGCTCCACTTGACATTGCGCTGCATTTTTAGTGCCCCTTTTTTTTTTTTCGTTCACTGAATATGTCTAGCAGTGCGAAGAGGCAGTACTCAGCTGCGTTTAAACTAGATGTTGAGTCCGCAGAAGTGAACCGGAATATGGCTGCTCAGCGCCGCTTTGGTGTATCGAAAAAAAAAAAAAGCATGCGCTATTGGAGGGCGCAGAAAGGGAAACTGCAGATGCGCAATCCTCGAAAAATTTTGTTTCGTGGACGAAGTGCCGTTCATCCGCAGCTGGAGGATAAGCTAGCGGACTTTGTGCGGGAAGTTCATGCGCGCTCGCTGCCAGTGACCATTGATACCATTCGCAAGAAAGCCGTGGAACTCGCTCGAGAAGCTGGGTGCGTCGATTTATGCGACGCAAAGGATTTTATGCGACACAAAGGACTGTTTGTGGCTGGGTGCTTTCCGCGTGGCGCTCCTTGCCGGATTCCATGGTGAAAAATGCTTTCAAGAAATGTTGCATCAGCAACTCGCTGGATGGCACTGAAGACGACGCACTGTGGGAGGCGGCTAGCGACAAACTTTCGTCTTCAGAAGGCAGTGGTGCTTCGTCGGGACGAATAGGAGCAGTTGCGGTGATGATTGAGGGGAGCTCCGACGATCGGGGTGCGGTGCACCCAATTCGCAAATAAATGTGGTTCGGCAGTTTTGGGTTGTTTTCCTTTTTTTCTTTTTCAGTAACCTGAACTTGGGGGGTCGACTTATACTCCGGTTTATACGGTAAGTTATTGGTTGGCCTACTGTGTTTTCAATGTACACTCAAAGCTCATTATTACACAGATGAATTTACACGAAACTGATTTTGTTACAGTCGAACCCCGCTACAATGACACTAAAGGCACGCGAAAAAAATTCCGTTGAAGCGAAAATTTCGTTGTAGTGAAATAAAAAAACTATAGCTGATCTGAAATAGCGAAACAAAGGAACGTTTATTTTCAAAATTTAAAAAATGTCAGCTGCCTCCTATTTTTTCCCAGCAATGTAGTGACGTGATTGTCACCCATGCATAGCGATACCATGGTGAAAAGCACGCTGAAACAACGCCTGAAACGGTCTTCGTGAACGAAGCAAACAGTTGCATTAACACGGTAACACCAGCAGCTGTCCGCCGTCAAAACGCCAAAATGGAAGCAGGGTATAGTCAACCGGTGACTCTTGCCTTATTTTATGCTATTATTATCATCCATCACTCGTGGCTAGCTGATTTTGTTGATAATGCGGACGAACAGCCGCTCTGATTAATTACCACACAGGCCAAGTGTGAACAAAAAGATAAGCATAGGAATCAGAAAACACACTGTTCCGCAGATGAACTAAGCAACTGAGCTTCAGCTTTGAATTGTCTGTGGCTATACAGTAAACCCGATGCCAGTGACAAAAGCAGGGCAGTCTCATTGCCATCGCTATCGAGCAATGGCAACGGTACCGTATATACTCGCATAATGACCACACTTTTTTTTTAATTGACTCCAACATCGGGATGCGATCATAACGCGGGGTAAATTTTCTGTGAAAAAATATTCCGAGCACCGAAAACGCAAAAAAGCCGCCAATCAGAATTCTCACGGTAGACCAAAAACAAAAGAAAATAAGGCTTACACCTTTGTAATAAAATGCACGCACTACGCAGGAGCTACATGCATGGCACACTGCCCTTTTACTGTTTACCTCTTTGACCCCCTAGTTTGATTGATTGATATGTGGGGTTTAACGTCCCAAAACCACTATATGATTATGAGAGACGCCGTAGTGGAGGACTCCGGAAATTTAGACCACCTGGGGTTCTTTAACGTGCACCCAAATCTGAGCAGACGGGCCTACAACATTTCCGCCTCCATCGGAAATGCAGCCGCCGCAGCCGGGATTTGAACCCGCGCCCTGTGGGTCAGCAGCCGAGTACCTTAGCCACTAGACCACCGCGGCGGGGCCACCCCATAATTTATTCAGACTCCGAAGCGCCACTGGCGTCGGTGTCGTCGCCGCACGATTCCCTGTCAAGTGCCTTCAGCTTGAACGCGGCAGTAAAGCTCGCGTACCGCCCCATGGTGAAACGGCGCTTCAAAACATAGCTGCGGGATGAACACAGGTCGAGCAACAGGCGGCCGTCGCTGTAACAGTGCGGGATGTCAAAACAAACATGGCGGCTGACGGAGCGACGCAACCGCTTTTTTTTTCTTCTTCTTTTCGTCAGTTATGGAGGTTGAGTACGTCACGCGCGTCAGAACAGTTTCTGCCATCTAAATAAGGAATGCTTTCATTTAAATCAGTAAGTTTACGGCATTAGCCTAGTGATGCCTGCTTTCAGATCACAGAAACAATGATAGGCGTGTGCAGCTGCCACAGACATAAAAACACGTGGCGGGCATTCAGTGAAAACTACGGCATTTGCCCTTACTGCAATCCTAAACGGCACGGTTCCGCCACACAGTGGGCAAAAATTAAGGATATGTTTGGTGCGTGCAGTTGGCGAGATTTGAAGAGCGAGATTTGAAGATGATCAGCTAGACTTGGCACACGACATACCGATGCGGCAAGTTCGGCGTGCGATCATTACGCGAGTAAATACGGTACTTCTTGGTGGTGCCAACGATGTTTTAGACTTCGTCGACCTATTTTCAGGTTCTGAAAAGGCATCAAAATGTTAAACATTGGGTTTGCTGTATAGCATTAAATATCTGAGCCTGGAATCGCATCGCAAAATTTCGTTGAAGTGGGACGTCAGAAGAAAAAAAGTTCATTGTGGCAACAATATTTATGCACTGACTTCTATGGACTGCTGTTTTTCGTTGAAGCGGCGTTTGTTGTAGTGGGATTAGACTGTATATCCAAAAATTCATTACAAAAGCATATTCCTATTACTATGTCTACTGCAAGACTATTATATGTTTACTTTGTTACAACCGATAATTCGTTATATTAGGGTGCGTTGAATCGAGGTTTGAGTCTATACTAAAATCACTTAACTTAAACTGCCCTAGGGCACCAAATATTTCAGTAGAACTTTTTGCTTGTCCATGCCTCAAATTATTTGTAGCTGTTGTATACAAGTTGCAAATGAAGCCAGCAGCCTACACACAAAGCAGCCAAAATTGGGGCTTGAATGCTGCGTGCCGAACGCTTGCTGCAGCCCGCTGGTGTCGTGCCGAAAAGCGTGCAACGAAACAAGAAGGGGCTACCTATTGTGACAGGGCACAACACGTTTCCTCCCTAAGTCACATTATAACAAGCACCCACACGATCCCTGAGCTAGCAATGATGCAAAGCCGAGCGTGATTTTGCCGAAGCAATGAGAAACAACAAATATGCACTACACTGCCCAGAGTCGGGGTAAACGAGAACAAAATTTTGGACTGCGTCGTGTTTGCACTATTGACATCTACAGCAGCGTGCAACGATTCAGTCGCATCGAGCAGATTCAGGTGCATGTTGAAGAACCCCGGCTGGTCGAAATTGTCATAGCCCTCTACTTTGGCGTCTCTCATAATGCACGTTAAAGGAGCACGAAAGGCAGCTATTAAGTCTAATTTACTGTTGAAATAGCGGTCCAGAAACCTCGTAGGGTTACTCCTGTGCCGATGAAGGGCTTATTTTGAAATGAAATCACTTCTCAGTGGTCCGCATCGGGTTGGTCGACTTCAAATTACTCGGACCATCTGGCGTCACTGTAGCAGACATCCCCCCCCACCTGTGGGTTGAGATGTCCAGCTTGCACCGCCATCTGTATCTGTTGCACCAGAAGACGCAGCTGTGTTGCAGACGGCACATTTGGCTGGCCCAGGCGAGCGCCGATGCCTGCTGGACCACCTGCTGGACCGCCACCCTGGTGCAACAACAGAGGAAGCACTAGTGAGAGCTCGGCCGCTAGACAAACACCCTAGACAAACACCGGATACTCCTTTGACGGCATTACGGCTCTGTTTTGAACGTTATGATGGCGCACAAATTTGTGGCAGCAACCAATGGTGCAAGTCTTGAGGGACTCAAGCATCATAACTAAAGTGCATCTTACACAGAATTACCTTCCTTATATCAGGAATTTTGTTATAAAGATATATTCCTAAAGCTATATCAACCGCAGGACTACTTTTCAATTACTTCCTTGTAACCAATTTCGTTACATCCGGGTTTGTGATATCAAGGTTTGAGTGTACATCTGGACTGCTTAATAGTGAAAATCACTCAAACCCCATATAGTTATGACAAATATTCATCATACAGCCCTAATAAGTTTATGATACCCCTAAATTCTTCATAAACGTGATTCCCAGCACTGTGTGCATTGAAAGACTATTCACAATTTTTTTTCTTAAAACCAATGTTTTGTTATATCGATGTTCGTTTTATTGAGGTTTGCATGTGCAACGCATTAAACTTCACTTTAATGCTGTGTACTTGTGTCCCACACTTCTACTCTGTGTGGGACTATTGAAATCTCAACTGCCACTCGACCAGTTTCAGAGAAGACTCATCAGAACTATGCAACTAGACGCGCTGGTAATTTTTTTTTTTTTTTCAATTTCATTGGAAGCGACGATATTAACTTTTGATCAGTAACAATACAAAAAGTATCTTTCCAAAATAAGCTGGCCACCATGCCAAGATGCGATTTTTCCAGATTCACGCCACAGGCTCAAGCTTTTGATATGTCCTTCATTAGGAGCTTTTAGCTTGTATGTATACTTTTTTTATGTTACCGTTGGTTTCATTGTGGCTTTAGCGCGTGGTTCTGGGTGCTGCGGCAGCCTCGAAAATAGCCTTGCTTTTTGCACTTTTGAGCCTGAACTAGGCGCTGATATTTACAGAATAGGTAATTTATGTGAGATACAACCCAACAATATGGTCTTTAAAAAACAGACTTTTTCGCGATTTTTTGGTTTTCAAGGGCCACGCCCCCTTTTAAGAAGAGATGTGGATCGAAAAATGTGAGTTTTCTTCAATTGTTTTGATAAAATTAGAACCTCTACTGTTCTGAAAAAAAAAAAAAATTACATGTGAAGACTTCACTGAAAATGCTTTAAAGGTGCGTTTAAAGGGCACAAGGTGCCGTGCCTGTTGAAAGGCCGAAAGTGCGCAGTCTTCGAGCACCCTGCCACCGATAATGCGTCGCCGCACGCCATTGTTGATCGCATGAGGCGAAGAGTCAAGCCCCACCCTTTAAATAACGACAGCTTCCCTCGCTTTTATAAATAAAAACTCAACTTTAACTTTAAAACTCATTTTTCTCGAAACACAAATTTTGCCATTTCCTTTTTCTATGTGCTTCTCTTATTTCGGGGCACTTCTAGTGCTCGGATCTGCATGAAATTCTGCCCAAATTTTTTCCAAAGTATGACAAATATAATTATCTAGTTTAAATTTTAATATTTTATTTTATAATAAAAAAATGTATGCAAACCTTTACTGGGGTAGGTGAAATATGGACTTCTTTTACATCTATTATTTGTCATGCCTATTACTTATTTTGTATGTGCTTCCTAATTAGTTATTTGTATGCTACACTTTATGCTAAACATTATGAACTATAAATGGTAAAAAATTTCGTTTAGGGATAAAAAGAGGGGGTGCAAAAGGGATATGGTTTTCACTTTGTCATTTCGCAGAGCTAAAAGTAAGTAACTTGCAAGAAAACTAATTAAATATTTGAAATCAGCATAAAAAGTTCCATAAACAGGTCAAGTTCCATTGCTAAAGGGTGAATATTAAGGGGAGACGCTCCTCGAAAAAGTTTTTTTTTATTTCTAGTAATAGAGACTTGAAAAGTTTGTTATTAGTATAGTTTTTCATGCAGATTTCAAATATGCAATCATTTTTTGTGTAGCTGCTATAATTATTGAGTTATGCCATAAACAATAGCAAAAAGTTACATTTTTTGCAGGCACTCTTTTATGTACTAAACTTTCAGTAAAAGCACTGTGTCTGATCTTATTTGACTCTTGGTAGATTGAAAAGTGCAAATATCTATATAGATATGTCACAGAAATATTGGAACCAAGAAAAAAAAAATTGTATTGAATGACTTATTATTTTCAATCTCCCTTGAAACAATAAGCTAATATTTTCACAACTAATGCTGGTAGGCATTGCAATTTAGAGTAGATATTTGCATTCTGCATGTGTTGAAGAATATGTGTGCCAAGTTTCGTTACTACACAATGAATATAAGTTTCTAAAAGGCTGCCCGGAAAACGTGAAACTGTCAGAAAAAATGAAAATGAGAAAAACAAGTTTGAAAGTTCGCAAAGTTGGCATTTATTAGGAAATCATTCTTTTTGCATCAAATTGGGGCACAATGAAAAGTACCTTGCCTTGAATGCACTGCAAGTGTCTAGAAGTCCCCTGCACCATAGCTTGGTCCTTCACGGCTCTTGCGGTCAGTGTCCTCAACACGAGCTCTCTTCGCTGTGTTGCGACGGTGTGCCCTCGCTTCTGCAGTTTGCTTCAGGTTCATCTTCCTGATGCGCATGACGTCACAGTGGTCACCATGTGTGGCCAGATCTTGTGAGGGGAGAATTCCAATGCCTTCGAGCACTTCTTCAAAGCCCCTGTGGCCTTTGTTGTACCAGAGTACAGCAAGAGCGGTGGCTGTCTCCACAGTTGTTCTGGAGGCGAACTTTGTTTTTGGACATAGCAGCCATATCTTGCTGTTCAGCGATTAGGCTGCATTCTGTGTCTTGCCATGAAGGCACCAAATAAGGAGTTTCTCCTCTGTAAGGCGCTTGTAGATAGGCATAATTGCCAATCCTTGAGCCTTCGTCAACAGTGGGGTGTGGCGTGGTGCAGGCTCCCCCAGTGCTTCCGCACGCTTGTGCTTGCACCACGAATTTGGTCCCGCGGGGCAAAAGTTGTGGCTACTGGCACCATCACTGGAGTAGCAATGAAAATACGATGCCCATATGGCAGTGTACATATTTCGGACACTGTCCTTGTTGCTCGTGATGGCGATCTTGTAATATGTTTGTAGTTTTATTATTGTCGCATCTTTCAGTTTTTCGCCTCGTGGCAGTGGCGTTGCCAATTTCCGTAGGGCAGTTCCCAAGCGCTTTGCAACGTGGTTCGTGCACTCTTCTTTGTCAGTGGGGGTGTCACAGTATACATTTGCCTCGCAGACTGCAGTGTAGGCCTTGCTGTCACCATCACTTAGGAAGCTGGTGAATCGCAGTGGAGTTTCATAAGACAAGGTCCTCTGCCATATATTGACAGCTGCCGCAGGTTCCATTGCATGGGATGAGCAGTCAGTGTTTTTTTGGCAAACTGGAAGATGAAAAGCTCGCCATATCTCTTCATCCTCCCCAAGGTCCCTGTGTATACTGCAAGCATGGCAGTAGTTCGAAAGAACTTCAAAATCGAGGCAGAGCCCCGTGTCCAGGGACACGACTGTGCCCACTCCATTGTGGCTTTTATGACCTCTTTTCTGCCAGGTGCCATCAAACATGACTGGCACATCTCTGCCGCCGACTGCGTCCTTCGTGATGTTTCGTGCCTGGTGCAAGTTTTTGCTCACTGCCGTCATCGCCGCACCATGGAGCTTCTTGCAAATGCCGTTGAATGTCTTGTGATGCATCGGGCTCGGAAGACCGAGAATCGCACAAAATCGTGAAAGTTGGTCGTGGCCTGCGCCTATAGCGCGTGCTGCCAGAACTGCCTTCACGTTTACAGCAAAGCTGTCACGCGAGCTGCCGCTGTCAAAACGAGCGCTCGTTCCTTGGTCCCCGGCCGAAGCAGTACGTCTCGACGTGTGCGTGAACGAAAGTGCAGATTCAGGGCAATCAGAATTTTGACAGCACAGTTCGAGGAATGCCGAAAGTCCTTTGCACTTTCCAGCTGCCTCTCGCACGCCGAGCTTCCGTTCGCGGCAGGTTGGGCATTGCGCACCCGCCACAAGTGCCGTCAGCGCATCGATTTCGCAAAGCAGCACGTTCGCAGTAGCAGCATCTACCGGTCTACGTTCACTCTCGAAGAATCCAATCTTCCTTTGGGATGCACTGACGAATTCCACGGCAGCGGCTATTTCACAACCACTGTCGCAGGGTTCGGTGACGGTGTTAGGCCTATCCGAAGTCGGAGCGTCGGGGCGTTGGTCGGGGGCGACATCGTCGTTCGCTGTCGCTTTGCGAAGCGTCCGACGCCGTTTCCCTCGATACTTGTGGCGAGTTCTGAACTTTCGATTATCTGAACTGCACTTCTTCGGGCTTGCCATGACGCAAAAATGCAGAGAAACGCAGAAAAACTCGATCGCGACGTCCGAGGCTTCGCTCTTTTGCCGGAGAGATAGGAGGGGGAGGAGCGTGGAGCGCACCGCCGTCCAATGGCGGCCTCGCGTTGTGTGCCGCGATATTCAAAACGCGTGACGTACGCGTTGTTTTTCTCGTTTTTTGTTTATTCTGCGTGAAGGCACGAGACTGGCTACTAGTGGATTATGAAGGATACGGCCTTCGCAGCATGCGTGCACGATTGCAAATGGCGGCCAACGCGTCGTTTTCGCCACAGGACGACGCGAACTTCGCCGTTTTTCGAGACTTTCGCGCATTTCTCGCGTCACAGCTGCCCACTTGGAAGCATTTTTTGATAATTTCTCGTGCGAATTTCAGCTTGATATTTTCAGAAGTAATAGATTATAGTCCAAGGATGCCAATACAGCCGAAAAAAAAAAAAAGCGAAAATTTTCCGGAAAACCGCGACTTTTCGACCCGCGTCTCCCCTTAAAAAAAAAGTGTCTTCGAGTAGCATCTTCCCTTAAGGGGGGACGCGGGGATCAGATCGCGAAAAAAATCTATTTTCAATAATCACTAATTTCGGCATCTGCAGTGCCTATTCTATGCCGTACCAAAGCGATTTGGCTGAAAACCATTCGCAAATGACCGAAACAAATAAGTTTGTCAGCGCGATCGGCGAGAAAGAGGCTCAAAATTGGACAAAAACACCGATGTCCACAAAGCAAGGGTTCATTTCTCGCGTTACTAATCGCTGCAATCTTGGTATCCTTTGACACGTCGCCTTCCCACTTTCACGCATTCCAAACGTCACCGGCAAAAAAGAAACGCGCAAAAAGCAAAAAAAAAAAGCACATGGTCATACAGGCAAACCGAGGGCCATTTTATGAAACGGAGCCTCCAATTGGCTGGCACGCTGCAAGTAGGCTCCCCATTGGGTGCCGTCACGACAATAGAGGAGGAGCCGCCGCGGTTGTCTGCATCACTGCGAGCTTTACTGCCGCGTTCAAGCTGAAGGCTTGAACGCGGCAGTAAGCTTTCATACCGCCCCATGGTGAAACGGCACTTCAACAGACGATCACACAGCACACCAAAAAAAGTGGTCCCAGGAAAAAAACAACAGGCGGCCGCCGCTGTAACAGTGCGGGATGTCATAACAAACATGGCGGCTGACGGAGCGAAGCACTCCGTGGAGTGAAGCCACCGCATTTTTTTTTCTTCTTTGCGTCAGTTATGGAGGTTGTGAGTACGTCACGCGCGTCAAAACAGTTTCTTCCATCTAAATAAGGAATGTTTTTATTTAAATCGGTAAACTTACGGCATTAGCATAGTGATGCTTACTTTCAGATCACAGAAACGATTATAGGTGCGTTCAGCTAGACTTGGCACATGACATGTCGGTGCGGCAAGTTCAGGGTGCGATCACTACGCGGGGGAAAAAAAAATGTCTTTAGACGACAAAATTTAGGGGTGCGATCATTATGCGAGTGCGATCCTTACGCGAGTAAATACGGTAACCCTGCGCAGTTCGTAGATATTTGAAGAAATAAGAAATGTCTAAGATCAGTCTGCCCCCTTAGGTTATCTCAGGAACAAGATGAGTTACAGGAAAACTAATTCAATATTTTAAATCAGCAGCAACATCCCCTATAAAGTTGTTTGTGCCCCGTGGCGCAAGTGTCTCACACAGAGACTGCATTTCAGGTTACAAATATTGGGTGACTACTTGCCATTACTCAAATAGACAGCTCACACTGCCCGCAGTTGGAGCATACTACGCCTCTGACGAGGTTCTGCATAGCATCGGTCTCACAAATAAATGTGCTTCCGCATTCGTCCTGACACTTGCTTTAGTCGTCGAACATCTTTATCTTTCACTCTAAAGCACTGACGAAGTCATCGACGGTAGGAATAAAGCTCGAACAATCCAAATCGGCTGCGTCGCTGCTGCCGCGGCTAGGCCTAGCGGCAGACGGACCTCTCGCCGGTGCTCACTGTTTGCGTTTGGAATGCCTTCCCTAGTACTGGTGCCGTATAATAAACTTCCGTGAACGGAAGTAGCGTTTCTTGTCGGCATCCATGGCGCGGAAATAACTCTGGCGGTTGTGTTCGTCGATGTCTCGGCGAAAGCAGGAGAACGTAGAAAGTGCTCGCATCCGACTGCGCGGCGGAATGCTCGCAACCAATGGCAGGGCTCCGATGATACCACGTGACTTCGAAGGCCCAGTCGCCACGCTAGAATGCTGTGCGAAAGCGATTTTTTGTAGTATTTTTAGCGTGAATGCCGCTTTGCAGAAGCGGGCTCTGGGAGAAGAGGGTTAGGCCTACATGCCCGCGAAATTTCAAGAGCCGGCGATGCCGTAGAGCGAAGTGCCGCGTGCGTGAAAATCGGGTAACTTCGCACTTTCCTGAGCCACCGCGAGTGCTTTAATTGTATTTTTCGGTAACTTCTAGCTGATTGTCAGCTTTGATTCTTTAATATATTAAGGAGAAGGCTTGGAGAAATACAGAACGCAAGAAAACAGAAAATCGACTTTTTCGAAAAAAATCACTGTTTTTCGACCCGCTTCTAGTGGAAGTAGTGGAAGTGTCATGAAGAGACTTTTGGCCACGCACTCACATGGTCCATAAACTTTCATGGCTGGCTGTAGAAACACGCCTGAAACGTTTTTTCTCAAAACTGTTTTTTGGGTTATTTTTCACTATTCTAGGACTCGCGGTCCCCCCATAAATGCAGTGAGCATCACTATTGATGGTTTGCAAAAACGTAAAGATAGAAGTCTATTTAGGTACGTAAATGTCTACGTATTCGGAGCTAAACGTTGAAAAGCACGTGTTCCAGTAAGACGATCAACACAAACCACTATCAGTAACACAAAGAAGTATACGTACAAGCTCAAAGCCCCCATTTCCCATGTTATAAGTCATTACAACTGAGCGCTAACAATGACCGAATACAGAATGAGAGCGGAACAATGCCACTGCTTCAAGGGTCAGTCCCAAGGAAAATTGATACAGCTGAATGTATTGTTGCATCAAGGCACTACTCAAATGCATATTCTGCGGTCAGAAAGTTTCCTGTGCTCGAGTGAAGGCACAAGGACGTCCCGACGCCTTTCGAGGGCTGGGCCGCAAGCTGGAAGCAATACCACACAGCACCGCTTGCCACACATACACTCAAACCACATTATATAAAAAAAAAAAAAAAGTTGCATTTTACATGAAATGAGTTTGTTACGTCGGACAATTTGTTATATAAAGGACTTTTCCTAACACTACATTTCAAGACTACTTTTCACTTACTTCATTACAACCAATATTTGGTTCTATCTGTTATATCAAGTACATAAATCAGAATGCAGACACAAAGACTCCCCAGGCCCCTCGGTAGATGATACTGACCGGGAAGTGTGCCTGCTGTTGTGACTGGTGGAGGAGCTTTTGCACGATGGCTGGGCTGAGGCTGCTAATACTGTTTGCTACCGTCAGACTAGAGTTCTGCCCGCCCATCCCCGTGCTGTTAAGTAGACTAGCTGGAGCATTGGACCCCGGGTTGGAGCCCTGCACACACAGAAAAAAAAAAAAAAAAACAAGGTGGGCACCGTCAGCCTTAAATCACTATAACATGCGACGGAGAAGTGCAACTACCGGCAGCAGTCACTGCTCTCGCACGAAAGCTCATTTCCCACACTTTCGTCGCCTAAGGTAGCCCCCTCAGATTCCAACAGAGTGCCGCAACAGACGCCATCCCACAGCACCACGAGGCGCTCAAATGGACCAGAAACTGACAGCTTCTCCACCGTAGGTGTTGACAACTTGCACAAGCTCATCCACATATGAATCCATGATCAGCCATTGCTCATGAGCTGAAATTTTTATTTGATATGCATTTTTCACAGCTGAAAAGAAATATGCAATCAGTTTTTACCTGTCACTTACAGATTTAAAAATATTGACTGTTTCAAAAACTTACATGCTGCCCACTGTTTAAACAGCTTTCATATGAAAGTGCTGCAAATTAAATATCACAGTGTTCTGCAATGAACACGGAGTGCAAGGAAACCATAACTTTATTTTTAGCTGCATCGGTTCAAGAGTTATGGCCGTAACAACTAGACATCAGAAATCTGAAACTGTTGCTTAATTATATTACTAATTAAAGCACTTTTTTATTTAAATTATATTTTTCGGTCTTGTTGTACTTATAAATGCATAAGCTTTCCAATGTTGCAAAAATTATCAAAATCCAACCACGAGATCATAAGATACTGTGGGCAATGGCCTCAAACGTGATGAAAAATGTTTAAAATAAAACGAGAAAAGTTTAGGGACACGGTGAGCATGTATATTCAACAGGTAAAGGTGTTAATCAGTGCAGTAATGATGCTAGATGCAACTAGGTGTATAGTCGTCATTTTTCATGCGCTTTCTTTTCATTGCACGCCAGATGTTTCCAGGCTTTCCATAGTTGAGATTGGCATACAGCGTTTTCACCGTGCTGGCGCAGTCATCAGTAGCGTGCACGGCAGCCTTCTGCGAGGCAGGATTCCTGTCCACTTGCACATAATTTTTATACGTCTTTGGGTACATGCATCTCCGTAAAACATTCAGGGTGAAAAAAAAAAAATGTAATTCAAAGCAATTTGTCAGTTTGCTGTTCCGCGCGAACTGCGAGCACGTCGATCTCAAACGGGCCGCGTGTGTGTCCCCCTCCCCCCCCGCTCTTGGTGAGCTCCACACAGTTTTCAGCTTCCCCGCACTCATCACACGTCAGCACCGGGGTGAACAAATAGACTACAACACGCACGCGACAGAGGGACGGAAAGCCCAAAGCGGTGACCACTGAGCTCTGGTTCGCACCTTCACCTGTGGGAGCTTGAAGCCCTGTCCACCGCCATAGCCAGCACCGAACACGGGCAGCCCCTGGAAGCCGCCAGGTGCGTGGAATCCCGTGAAGGGCGCCTCCCCCAATGGACCGTGGGGGTCTTCGTCGGGCCGCATCTTGGGACGAACTGGGAAGCCGCAGTCCGAGCCGTCCAGGAGACCTGGGTCCTGGTTTCCATTTCCCCTGGCAGCCATGGCCCTCAACTCCACTGCAATCATGCGCACAATCATGACTCCACTGCAATCATGACTGAATGAGGGTTTATATGGGACATGTAGCGGGTTACAACCCAAGAATAAACATAATCTCTATCTGCAGTACCGTGGTATGCCCATCAACCATCTGTGTAGGAGTCGTGCAAGCTGGTTTCCTTTCGAACCACAAATAGCGTATTTACTCGCGTAATGAACCCACTCCCCACGTGGCTCGTTTAAAAACAAAAAGGTTAATATATCGGTGAAGTTTACTTCAGTGCTGTTGATGATGGAAACAATGTTGAATCATGCCATTATATCACAACATAACAGTCATTTAAAGACAAAACATAGTTTGACAACCATGCTAAACAGTTGCGAGCGCGGACAACAAAGATTGAAATTTAAGGGGAGACGCGGGTCGAAAAGTCGCGTTTTTTTTCCAAATTTCACCTTTTCTGTTTTTTGTTGCTTTATCATCTTTATACATTATATTTTGACATCTGAAAATATCACAGCGAAATAAGCATCAGAAGTCAGTGAAAAACGCGTCTGAGTGAGCGGCAGTGACGCGCGGCATCACGAAATTTACACAAAACGGGCTGCTGTTCGCGTGCTCGCGGGGCCGCGAAGAGAGCTGTCCGCCATATTGCGGCCGCTGGCTCGTGTAGAGTTGTCCTTACTCTCCACGATCCCGGTTCTTGAAGTCTCGTACGTTCACGAAAAATCTAAAAAAAAAGCAACAAAAACAGTCTTTTCCCGCCGTTTCAAACCGCGCGCCACTAACGCAGGGCCGCCATTGGCTGACAGCACCCGTGTTTTCTTGCCGTAGTTCGCTTCACTGTTTTCCGGAGTTATTTTTCGCTGTTTTCGTGCGATGGCAAGCCCGAAAAAGGCCGTTGCCGACCATCGGAAATACAGAAATAAGAACAAGTTCAGAGGGAAGCGGCGGAGGACGTACAAGAAAGCCACCGCCAACGAAAATGTCCGCGACGGGCCAGCGGCCGGTAGGCCTAACATCGACCACGGCAACGTCGACCATGGCAACTGCGACGACGAGATCAACGCTGCAGTGAATTTTGTGAGTGCATCGCAGAAAAAGATCGCGTTATTCGAAAACGACGTCAGGCCGAATGCCGATCGTGCCGAAAGCGTAGTGCTGTGCGAGTTGGGTGCATTGACGGCCGTCGTCGCAGGCGCGGCATGCCCCGTTTGTCACGAGAGTAAACTCGCAGTTCGGGCACCGAATAAAAAGCGGAAAGGCCTTTCGGCGTTTCTGGAGCTACACTGCGAGAATGCGGAGTGCTCGGAGAGCATCCTTTCGTCCGTGTACTCGTCGAAGCGGGTCGCGTCAGATGGCGGCCGCGGTGCAAGCAGAAGCTACGACAGCGGGAGTTCGCGTGACGCCTTTGCCGTGAACCTGAAAGTGGTGCTTGCAGCGCGTGCCGTCGGTATCGGGCATGAGCAACTTTCACGATTTTGTGCAGTAGTTGGATTGCCAAACCCTATGCACCATAAGACCTTCCATGCTATCGGCAAAAAGATTCACAGTGCGGCAGTGAAGGCTGTCTGTGAAAACATGCAAAGGGCACGCAGCGTCACCAAAGAGGTGGCTGGTAACAGTGACGTGCCAGTCATGTTTGACGGCACATGGCAAAAAAGAGGCCACAAAAGCCACAATGGTGTGGGAACTGTAGTGTCCTTGGACACTGGTTTGTGCCTGGACTATGAAGTGCTTTCCAACTTCTGCCTGGCGTGCAGTTTGCATAACGACATGGGAGGCGATGAAGAAACATGGCAGGCGTTTCATCATCCCGTTTGTGAGAAGAATTGCGACTGTTCTTCGCATGCCATGGAGGCCGAAGCTGCAGTGCGCATTTGGCAGAGGACTGTGGACTATGAGACACCCCTGCGGTTCACCATCTTCCTAAGCGATGGAGACAGCAAGGCCTACAACGGGGTCTGTGATGCCAACGTGTACCCTGACACTCCAATTGAAAAAGAGGAGTGCACCAACCACGTGGCGAAACGTCTGGGCACCGGCCTGCGGAAGCTGCCAACGCCACTTCCACGAGGGGAGAAGCTGAAGGAGACCACCATCCAGAAGCTTCAAACTTACTTTCAGGTGGCCATTGTGAACAATTGGGGAAATGTCCACAAGATGTACACTGCCATATGGGCCTCATGTTTGCACTCGTGCTCAACAGACGGTGCTGGAAGTCACAAGTTCTGTCCTGCAGGCCCAGACTCGTGGTGCAAGCACCGACGTGCTGAGGCGCAGGGCCAGCCTGCACCGTGCCACACCCCCCTCCTGACCAAGGCCCAGGGTTTGGCAGTCCTCCCAATCTACAAGCGTCTCACAGATGCGAAGCTGCTTGCCCGGTGCCTCCACGGCAAGACACAGAACGCGGCCGAGTCCCTGAACAGCAAAATATGGCTGCTGTGTCCAAAGACCCGGTTTGCTTCCCGGACTGCTGTGGAAACAGCCACAGCCATTGCAGTCCTGTGGTTCAACCGGGGCCACGCGAGCTTTGAAAAGGTGCTGGAAGAGCTTGGGGTGCTTCCTTCGGAGGCCCTGGTTACCCTCAGCGACCGCCGAGACAGCATGCGCATGCACAAGATGAATGTGCGTCAGACCGCTGAGGCGAGGGCACACCGTCGCAGTGCAGCCAAGAGGGCCCGGGTGGAAGAGTCCTGCCGCACCAGCCGGGAAGGGAAAACCTACGGTGCTGGAGAGTTTTAGACAACTGATATTCCCTCTGGACATGTGTGTATGTGTTCAGCACAAGTTTCGTGCTACTGCGTTTTTCATTTTTGTAAATACAGACTTTCAAACTTTCAAACGCGTTTTTCTCATTTCGCAATTTTGGCCAATTTGCATTTTTTGCGGGAAGTGTTTCGGGCACTTAGAATGGTCATACGACGACGAAATTTGGCACACACATTGAGGAGAGTGCGTAGGGTGCCGATATCTACTTGAATCAGCACAACCTATCAGCTGTAAATATCTATTAATAAATTTAATGGTGGTCGAGTGGAAAAAAAAGGGTAGTTTGCTACACAGATGTTTTTTTCATAGTTTCAAAGTTGGAGCACAATTTCTAGCTAGATATCGGCACTCTATGGCTAATAGGGAGCAAAAGGAGCCATTGAACAACTCTCTGCATGAACATTTAGTATGCGCGAAAGTTCCCGGAAAACTTATCAAGTTTCACCATTACTTGAAACACAACTCCCAAACTATTGCACTTATGTAAAAACTGATTACAGATTTGGAATCAGGAGGAAAAACTGCATCAGTGGTCCAATTTCTGAAGCTCTAAGTTGAATAACAAAAAAAAAGTGCTTTCGAGGAGCGTCTCCCCTTAAAAGTCTCGCCTTTCCCAGTAGAGCACCATCTGTCGAATTCAAAAGAAACCTCAAGCTTACATCACCACACAAGCACAGCAGAGCAAGGAGAAAGGGGAGACGCGTATGCGCCCACTGTGCTGAGGGTGCTACATGCGCCTGCCATACGACGCTTCGGTTTTGCTATGCAAGTACAGTCGAACACAGATATATCGAACTTGAAGGGGATCACAGATTAGTTCGATATGCGAAAAATTCGATGAAAGAAAATAGGGGCCCCGAGAGCTTACCTGCAGCGGATCATTACCCACAATAGGTGCATTGAAGAATGACAACTCATTCCGCACACATTAGAGCCGCATTAGAATGACTTATTTACGTGTAAAAAAATCCTAGTCTCGGTCTTATCACAACTCGTGGAACGCATCGTCTATGCGCTCGTCGTCGTTGTTTTCACCGTTTTTCACAAGTTCCCCAGTCTCCAAGCCCGCCTTGCAGAACCAGCTGACCACTGTGTCCATCTTCACGTCTCGCCAGGCATTGAAGATCTCCGCGGGAGAAAAGTTCACGGAGATATGCAGCCACTCCTTCGTCATCCATTGTTGAATGTGCTGGCTGCTGACAGCTTCGCTTTCGCCAGAAATGGTTTTGCCAGCGATGTCGTAGCCTTGCTGAAATCGGTGAAGCCACCCGCTTTTGTCGGCAAAGTTGTGTCACCGAGTAAAGTGGCAAACGGCAAACCATTTGGCCATGGCGATCAGCATTGGGCCATCCACAGGAATGTTCTTCACGGCCACTTCTAATAACCAGGCAGTGCCTTTTCTACATTCCCGTGGGAAGAAGCACGCACATGACAGGCTCCCGGCATTTGCTGCTTTTCCGCTTTTTCCTCGATATCTGCCTTCTTTTTTAACAGGTACTCAGAGTGCTCCGTGGTATCCCGAAGTCCTCCGCGACGGTCGACCACTTCTTGCCCGCCTAAACACGATCAATAGCCTTCAACTTCATCGAAAAGTCAAGGGTCTTGCATGTCTTGACGCTAGCCATAGCCACAAGAGAAGTCGACAATTCAAGGAGTCCGCAGCTGTTTTGCACACCACGCATGCAAAAGAGAAATGCTGAACATGCAGTGGCACATAGGCGGCGCGACAGCTCGAGACCAACAAAGCGCTCGCGAGGCAATCGCGAGAACAACAGCAAAGGGTGCAAGCTGTGGTTGGCTGATCGAACCTTGCAAAACAGCAACAAAAATAAAAGAACAGGCTATAGGAGGAGGATGTCAGCTCCTTCATTCCTGCTCTCCGAGCCGGCGTGTACCGTTCCGCAAAGCCGTTCCGCAAGTTGGAGATTGCATAGTCCGAGCACTCTCGCCCTTACCTTTTTCTAGCATTTCGGGTTTTGGCGGAGGCGTAGTGCCGCACGGAGGTCGCTGGGCGGTGCTGCGAGTGCCATAAGCGCGCATTCCAACTCGCGCGCGGAGCCGCGCTGTCGCTAAAATCGAGGGGGGGGGGGGGGGGGCAAACAGGCAAGTGCCAAAGCGCACTTTCCAACTCGCGCGGCGTCCGATATATTCGAAAACAAGAAGAAGTATTGTTCGATATATAGGTGCAAATTTCTATACTTCTACAAACGAAATTCAAGGAGATAACTGGAGAGTTTGATATACACGAAAATTTGGTATATGTGGGTTCGATATAACATGTTCGACTGTAAATTTCGTACTTTTCTTTGTTTATGTATACACCACGCACATCACAAACTACAGGTTTGTCATTACTACCTAAAATATGACCTTTGTCTATGCATTGATCTTGCAACATTCTATGAAATTTGCCAGGAAATTCAAGTTTTCATAGCAGAACCAGCAGTGCTTGATGCCACAGCAATGGGCAAATGTGATTTAATTATATGCTCACACACAGTCTTTCTGGGTAGGACAGCTACGGCTGTGCGAGAAGCATGTATTTATTCTTAGGTTGCAACCGGCTGTATATTAAGGACATCGACAAATGCAACGCTGTTCCACAACTCCGTTCCTTTCACGTTTTAAAAGCACCCGTAATTGCAATGTAAATATTTCCTCACCAGCGATGCGCATCACACGTCACTCGTAACAATAATAGTTGCGGCGTCAAATTACAAGCACTTTCAATTATTCTGGCGGCAAAAGGGCAAAAAAAGCAAAGAAACAGAACGAGAAAACACAACCCATACCTGCCAACCTATGGCCGTCTGAAAACTGGAGATTCGCCGCAAGGAGGGTGCCTGAAAAAAGTTTTGTTCAGGAGGCGCCCATCATCATCCGTCTGCTCTGTCGGGTTTGCCTCGATCTCAAGCGATCAGACGTTACGAGCCCTTCCAACACTTTTTTGACACACTCAAGAAATGCCGCCGAAGAGTTCTTCAAGTATCTTGCTAACTAACAAGTACAGCGAAATCATGATGCAACGAATCTCAAGTGACCGCTAAAAATCATTCGTTACTTTCAAAAGTCGTAGTGAAAGTATTAAAAGTCTGTAAAGGCATACATTCGCGACCGTGTTGTGCACAAACCAGTGCGAGAGAAAAAAACAAAAAAAAAAACAACTTGAATATTACGAAATCAGTGCATGTTTATTTGAGAAAACGCGTGATCCATCCTGATGTGGGCAACTCAACTGCTTAAAAAAGAACTCATAAGCGTGCACATCCTTTTTACGCACTGCGAAGTATCAGGGTCAAATACAGATTCTTTACGTTCGTTCGCACGTGCTTTTTCAACGTAGTATTTGCTCTCATCGCCATTTCCTTATCATGACAAATGTTATGGATCTTATCAGTCATCAGATAATCGGTTGACTGATATTACTAGTTGTTCGTTGACGACTAGTAATGTTCGAACATTAGTGAAGCATGCACGGGTCGGCAACTTCATCCCATAGGTCACTCACGTCGCATTTCTCCCTGTCGTGCTGGGTGCACAACAAACAAATCCAACATGCCTAAATCAAAGATTCAAAGCTGCGATCACTGGTGGTTGATTTGGATAGGTATGGTAACAAAAGAGTTCACAGCGAATGGAACAATACTGATTGATTTAATACAGTATTGGTTTTATACTTTCCCAAGCCCTTCAGGCTTCAAGCTGACCTTGCCAAAGAGCACTGCTGGCAGTTTTGCCATGGATGGGTATAAAAATCAGGGTACGCACTCATGGTGTCCTCGAGGTTCATCTGGTTCATGCGCAAGGCGTTCTCCACGTCCTCCTTCTTGAATCCCATGTCGGTGAGCATGCGAAACTGCTTGCTGGCATAAATGAGGTCCTTGGTAAGGGGCTTGCCACCCTGTCGCAGAGAAGGAAAACAGACTGATACTGGTCAGAGCACGGCGCCGCCATAGAGCACGGTCCGTCGCATGACGAGCCTAACCGGACATCACCGCCCCTCCATACAGAGATTTGTTAAAGGCAATCTATAAAAAGTTAATGCTTGAAAACGTCTAAACAGTCAATATGCACAGCAGAGTGCTAGAAGGGCACTGCTACGATTTATTGCTAGCACTAGAGCTATGCACGATAAGAGTGAATGAAGCTAACTCTTTCATTTCGGTACGATTCCTGGAAAAATGAAATTCTTGACACTACCCTTGAAAACGACACGTTTCACTTTTCCCTGGGTGTACTAGCTAGGATTCGCTGCACCAGATGTCACGTAGTAAAGGGCAAGCGTGGCAAATGCTACAGACTTGCATGGATGCAAATGCTACAGACTTGCATGCATGGAACAGAGTATAGAAATCTGGACCCTGTTGGCACCGATACAAGTGTACACCCACCTGTTTCGAAGGTCCACCCCAGGTGGAGGTGTCGATCTGGCCGTCAGCCCACGAGGGTGGGCCCTTGGGCTTGGTGGACCAGTAGGCCTGGTCGGGTGGGGGTCCGCCACCCCAGCTGCCCTTGTGCTGCTGCTGTTCGTCCCAGCTGGGGTCACCCCAGTTGGCACCTCCGCGGGGGCCCTTGTTGCCGCCGCCGCCCCAGACTCCGTCCTTTGGCATCCGGAGCATGCCTGGTGGAGCACCGCCTCCGCCGCTGATGGACTTGACTGAAGGCATGTCCTTCCAGTGCGACACCTGGAGAAGTTGTGCACATTATAAGAGCTCGCCATCCGTCACACCACCTCTGGAAACTTGACACTGCTTCAACTCGGATACAAGAACAAAGCGAGAAGGAAAAACGATCGACATACCTGGGGCATCTTTCTGCGACACAACACAGAAACGTGCATCCTTCTCCACCAACAATAAGCATGTTTCCACTTTCTTGAAACCTTGGCATTCACTACATTCCAATCATGAATGCTATGCCACGCTGACAATGCAGATGCAGTTAATGCCCAGGATGTTTTGGGCACATGGTGATGATAATGCAAGCAAATGCGTGAGAAATGGACGACAATCATTGTTGTGTGACATAAGGCACCCTTTTTTTTTCTTCTTTTCAGAAAGAATGATAATCATGGTCAATCTCGCATGCTTTCCTTTCATTATCAACACACACCAAGCCTTTCCTCGCCACAAATGGCATGTGCATTATCAGCATCACATAGCGGTCGACGGGAAAGTAGGAAGCTCGCAAATTTCACAGAAGAAACAACAGCAAGCCAGATGACTATTGCTCCGTGGCAGAGAGATGCCCCAGCAACTCCAGATTGACAGGATTGGCCACATCTAATGAATACCTCACGTGTTTTCAAGACCTTACAAAAGCTTATAAAATTGATAAAATTAGTGCATTTATAAGCACAATCAAACATTACATACTGCATAATCCTCGCACTTTCTTTGGCGGAAAACCGATGCAAAGTTGGGGAGTGCGAAAATTACGCGGGGAAAACTTTCCACAAAAACGCACAGAACGAGAAGGAAAACAAAGTTGCCGCAAATCGGGATTCTCACACCAGCAACTAACAGCAAGCTTAGAAAAGTACCTAATGCAAGCTCAACAATAAAATTACCTCAACAATAAAAGCACAGGTGCAGCACAAGGCAAGATTTATTCGAGACACAAAATGTGCAAGCCAATAGTCGAGAATTAGAATACCATACGCAAAGCTTGCGGGCGTAGCGGTAGCGTTTGTCGCTCGACAGGAGCCCTCAAAAGGTAAGCGTAGGACGTCAGTATTGGGCTGATGGTTATTTAACAGAATCGTCCGCAGTTTCCTTCTGAAGAAATAAAGTTTACCATCAATCCCAGCTTTAGGCACACAGCAGGCCCAACGCGTCTTGGCGGCTTTCAGCTGCCGTCACCAGTAGCGAACACAAAACTCGTCGACTCCGAAGGGCCTACCGGCAGCCCTGCTGCCATTGTTTAGTGCATGATCAACTACTTTCAACTTGAAAACAGCCGTAAAGCTTCAGTATCTCCTCATAACTTGACAGAGTTACCGACGCAACATACAAAACACGCCGCAACGCACACTGGCCACTTCGGCTTGGCTGGAGTTGGATTGAATCTTTGTGCAATAGTACACTTCATGCTTAAGAGATGGCGCCAGATGACGTGCCCTATCATCATCAATGGCTGGAAAGAGCAGACGACATTATTGCAGCAGTTTTCGCGGGTGCAATAATTACTCGAGGAAAAAAAAAATCGTATTTTTGTTGGGCGATGTGGGAGGTGCGAGAATTGTGCGCATGCGAGGATTACGCGAGTAAATACGGTACATTCGGGTCGACTTGCAGCCATGTTTGCCACAGCCACAGTATTGTTGTGCTAACTTTAAAGACATTACCAAGTATCTTGCACGGCCTGTTCAAAATACTTGTAGAAAAAATCCAATCACATAAGCACATGACACTAGCACAACTGATGTAGAAAGCAAGCACGGACCGCTGAATTGGCCAGCTTACGTTAAACCAGACAGATAAGTAACACTACTGGCGATAACATGCAACGGCAACATCTCAATGTCGCGGACTGAACGAAAATCCTTGAAGATGCATTAGGCCGTGCAAAGCCTGTGAAACTTAGCTTCTTTGCACTCTGTCTAATGAGAACATACTGGCTGTCGCCCCTTCGCCCTGCTCAGCTGTTGCCGACACTCCTTTACTGTTACAATTGCTGCAAATGCCTTTTCGAACATGCTTCAAATATTCAATCAGTTCATGCTCGGCTCAGCAACCGATTTCTCAACATGTTAAGAAAGATCGTGGAACGTTTCGAGGGACAGTTAGAGAACGCAAAGAGAAGAGAACAGTACATTGCAAGCAGTCTCGGGTCACTACCAATACAAGTGAGATATACAGTAGCCTCCCGATAATTCATACTTTCTGTTAATTCAAACAAAATTAAATTTTTTGGTTCGCCCTCTATTCTTTCAGTGTATGTAAAAACCTCTTAATTCAAACTGCATCATTTCATTATTTCATACTTTTTGCAGGTCTATACCAGAAAACATCCGCTGCTTTCCCACTACTATTTAATAATTTGTGTGCTGATATGATCCTAACAGTCTAAAAATGAGAAATAAGCCCCTGAGGCTTTAAAAAATGAAAGGCTTTACAAGTGATGCTTCTCAACTCAGTATAGAGAGCTTTGTGCTGAAGGCACATGCCTATACAAAGAAGCAGTTGGCAATTCACGATTGCCTTAAGAGGTCTGATCAACAGTAAATGGCCAATAAACTAGTGGTCTTCACACCTCTGCTTTCTGTTCACTGCGTGCAGTTAGGGCTTAAAAACTTACCAATTTTTAAACGTGATAACACCAATGCCCAATCATAACGTGCGGTGTCACCTCACCCAGAGTCACCTATCTGAAAACTTCTTGATAATTCAAACTAAATTCAGATGTCCCTTCAAGTTTGAATTAATGAGAGTTGACTGTAAAAGAGGACCAAGTGAAGGAGTGGGTGCAGCTTTTGGCGACAACCATTATGGATGTTATGGACGTTCATTTTTTAAATCAATTAACAACGATTTTTCACTCCAACAAGAGGTACGAGTAAAAGCACCCACCGCAGAACCCACCTTGCCCTGTCTCGTAGGGTTGCCCCAGACCGAAGTGCCATCGTCGTAGTTTGACACGGGCCTACGCGACGGCGGGGGTGAAGGCTCCTCCCAGCCAGAAGACTCTCGCTTGCCGTTGGGTCCTCCCACAGGGGACCAGGTGCCCACGTTGGAAGGTGGCCCGGCCCCTCCCTTGGGCCCGCCGCCCCACGCCGCACAGCTGGGGCCGTCGTCCATGCCACCATGCGGGGGCCGGCCTCCTCCGCCACCACCCCAGAGCCGGCCCTGCGGATCGCGCTCTTCTGGTGGCCCCCCCCAGTTGGAACCCGGAGGCGGGCCTCCCCCAGGGCCGCCGCCCCAGTGCTTGTCTCCACCCCCTCCTCCACGGTGGTGGTCGCCGCCCCACGCAGGGGGGCCCTCTGACTGCGAGCGGGGCCCACCCTGCTGAGAGGGGGTGGGCACCCCCGTCCACATGTTTGAAGGCGGGGGATCATCCTCCTCACCCCAGGTTCCCCCAATGTGGCTGGTTGGGGTGTGGCTGCCCCAGGGCTGTTGCTGAGAGCACTGGTTCGAACCCTGCACGAACATACAAACCGTAGTCCTGGGATCACACGATGTGGCTCTTCGAACAGGGTTGGGAAAAGGGTGGGGGGGTCGGCGGAGGAGAGGTCTATTCTGGCGCCCCCAAGCCCCAGCGGGCGGCATCATGTGCCACCCCTCGCGTTTGTGGTCGTCCATGTGATGTCTTCCGTTTGCGTGCTCCTTAGGGCGCACGTCTTCTCGCGCATGCGAGCGATGGGGAGTCTGGCTCCTCACCTGTGCTGCCTGAGGTGGGTTGGGCTGCTTGTTGCCGCCAGCCCTTGCGCTGCGCAAATTGCTTTCCCAGATCTCAGTGCCATTGTTGACGGTGGCCCTCCACGGGGGCCCCGTGGGTGGCTCTTTGGTCCCTGGCGAGATGGGAACATCCCAGGGCGATTCTTGGTTGACAGGCTGTAACCGAAAGAGGCTCATGAGACCGAAGGTCTCAAAACAAGAAGCAGAAAGCTGCCAAAATACACTGGTTTAACAATAACAGAAGCCGTGAACCTTGACAGAAGCAACATTTGCACAAAGTCGACGTCAGTGAAAAGGTTGTAAAGCACAAGAAAGGCAGAATTAGCAAGCAAATTGTTGGTTGTGGCAAGCTGGCAACTTACTACAAAACACAAAAATGTGAAAGGGCACAGGCCTTGGGCCCTTCAAATCAACTGAGCCAAGATCAGTGCATGCAATTGTCATCACGTGCACTCAAAAAAGGCCAAGGCTCTTAGCCAATGTTCCACAGTTGAACCCCTTTATAAGAGGCGGCATTCTCTGGGCAGCAATTCTGGTCTTTTATACGGTATGTCTCTTATAAGCAGGGTACCATGTATGCATTCTCTTATTCTCTTGTATATTACTGTAGGCACACTGGTGTCTTCTATATCCATTTGCCTCTTATATCAGCATTTTATAAAGGGGTTCGACTTTACAGTGGTACAGATCTCGCGGATTGTAACGCAACATCAAATTTTTCAGTGACACGGTTGTAAAACAAAAACAGGCAGTACAAAACAGTGGAATCTCATGGATACAATTCTGCATAATAAGTTTTTCTTTTTGCTCCCAGCTAATGTTACAAGTGGCCAACATCCCCCCCCCCCCCCTTTTAATTCGATTTTTGCATAACTTTTATTTTTTGTTGGCATATAACAAATGTATCAACGAAATTGAACTGTAGGTACTTTTAACATCGGCAGTTACTGAGCATCAGGCTGCATGCTTGAACTGAACTGCGTCTGATGTTGAGCAGACTGGCCTAAACAGCAACGTTTCCCGACACATTCGACACATTACTACAAGACTCAGGATAGTACCGTAGCATGTGATAGGGAACGTTCTATTTTAAATGAAAAATCCCAGTTTTAAAATTTTGAATTGCAAAGCTCCTTCCCCTTCAGAGACTTTGCCATCACCGAGACCCCTTGCTTAAGGGGAGAGGGACATGGTTTGGCCTCTCTTATCTGTTTCTGAACCAAATGTGACAAAAAGTTGGCATGCTTACTCAGTCTGTTCTCAAGATTTTAAAGATGTAGCAATTTTTCTCGTAGCTTCATTAGTTCATTATATATTTAAGATAACAATCTCTGTTGTTCCTACTACAATATAGAAACAAACAAAAGGCATAGGAATCAACAGTAGAAATCACAAGCCACATAACATAGGAAGCACTTTTTTGATAGGGACAGTAGATTTTACTTTACAGTACACTAGACTTCACAGCGCTAAATGTGGCCATTGTGTGGTCATACAAGACTAACTTTAAAAACTTGCATCAAGAGATGATTGATTAATGATTGATGTGTAGGGTTTAACGTCCCAAAACCACTGTATGATTATGAGAGACGCCGTAATGCAGGGCTCCGGAAATTTAGACCACCTAGGGTTCTTTAACATGCGCCCAAATCTGAGCACACGGGCCTACAACATTTCCGCCTCCATCGGAAATGTTGCATGAAGAGAAATTAGAGTTGCATCAAGAGAAATTAAAATCTACTTCCTATGTTGTGTGCTCCAAACATATACTTTATGCTGCAAAAAGAATTAATCCGCTATCTGTAATAGTTTTTTGATATATTGCAAAAATTTTCATGCAGGGTGTACAAATTTGCCATTTTGAGAAAATCAAGAAAACAAAAAATTCTAACATTTTTCAATCGTAAAAACGTATCGTAAATCTGCACATTGAAAATTGGCCCACAGTGTTGCTTTTTTGTGCACATTTAGCTACATTGTGCATAAAATAATTACAGCTCTGGCTGCTTAGATCCAATTTTACAGAACAAGCAAACAAGGAAGGTGGTCAAAACTTGTACTTCGAGAAAAACGCTCTTAAATTTTATTTTGTCTTTTCCAGTGAAAAATATCATGGCACACATATTTTAGTCAGTTAATATCCACCCGGCATGTAATCAGACTGATTGTTTGCACGAGCGTGTCGTTTCTTAAGTCTTGCTGCAAGTTGTCGCCACATGCCGACAAGGCCGCTTATCAGTTCGGTGACGGTACTGACGCCAATGCGCGACGAATGTGCACACACCATCCGCGATTTGTCGAATGACACGGCAACGTTTCTTGGCTTGATCAGAGCGAGTTATCTGTAAATGCCGTGAACCGAACTTGCACCCTCGCTCATCAGTTTCGAGGCTACAAGAGTGCCGACGTGTTAGATTACTTTTCACGTAGGACTGCCACACTTTCAAGTGGAGACCACTACACTGTTGCGAACACAACATAAAAGTAGCCTACCTATTACCAGTAGCCTCCATTGCGCGGGCGGCCAGCATGTTTACAGCGAACGGATCGATTTTCTGTTGTATGTCAACACGTGGCGCACTCTGCTTTGACGATTCCTCACGCAGTTCACACACAAACGAGGTCGTTTCGTCAGGCGGAGGGAACCGCGCCATCCGTGCGTTTAGCGATAAGACAACACTTCCGTTCCATCGCAGCAAGGATTGATATCTCTCGTAGTTTCACCTCTGCTTTTTACTTGCCATCCTCTACCTGATGAGGCTGCAAAACACGGCCGCTCTCAGAGACGTTGTCACCAACCGACAGGCTCGTACGCGAGTAAGGCCTCCATCGGTGACTCGGGATCCGCCAGTGACCGCCGCCAGCAGTTATCCTCGTTGTTCCGAGCCATAGCGGGGCTCTTTCTGAAGTTCACAGCGAACGAACTATCGCCACACCTGCTTCACAAATTTGCGAGGCGCAGAACTTTTTTACTGCACCAGGCAGTCGACAGCACCATGACAAAATGGCGCATCTCCGTGACCATCACAATGATGAAGCAGACGCCAGAAACACCACTTGGCCCATCGGATGCCTAGGTTTTGTCACATGCCCTAAGAAGCCAATAGAATCATACGGTGGTGCTTCTCGATGACGCGATTTTGCTGAAAAACCAATGAGGAAGGCGAGCCAGCGGTGGCGGGAAATTCAAGAAGAACGACCCTTCCAAATGGGACCAAGATAGCTTGTGTGCAACGGCAACGGTTTGGTGCCGAAAAAGCACGGTTTGAGCATCTATTTGTGATCACATTCATCTCACAGAGGTGTTCTGAATTAATTTTGCACCAGAAATAATTACGCAAGAAGCTAGAAACTTCCCAGGCAAATACAAAAATAGGTACAGATTCCGAAAATGGCAGCTTAAAACGGGCAATTTCTTGGCGATTTTCGGCCTGCTAAGACTTGTGTCCCCCCCTTAATTAACTTCTCTAGCTCAAAGCAAGATTCCGAAAATGGCAGCTTAAAACAGGCAATTTCTTGGCAATTTTCGGCCTGCTAAGACTTGTGTCCCTCCCTTAATTAACTTCTCTAGCTCAAAGCAAATTGACCTGCACCCTGTCAGTGGCATGTGTCGACTCACCGACTGGCCCCAACCCTCGCTGAAAGCCGCCATTCTTCTCAGTTCTGATACAGGCTCCTCCAGTATGTTGCGAGGGGCTCCCGCAGAGCTCTTGGAGTCTGACGCTTCAGTGACCTTGGTGACAGCGGTGGCAGTGCCCTGACCCCAGCTGCCTGCCGTTGCTGCCGCTGTCGGTTTGGTCGGGGAGCTTGCTCCACCGGCGTCTGCACCGGCATTTGGCCCTCCAGCCGCGTACTCGGGGCCACCACGCGTGTTGGCAGTGGCGCCCCACTGTGCCGACCCGGAGCCCCATCCCCCCTGGGGGCCTGGTGGTGGAGCTCCCCAGCCCGTGGCTGGCGCCGCGGAGCCATTGTTGAGCGAGGTTTCGCCTCCGCCTAGCAGGCCCAGGCGAGGAGGCCGACAGTTGCGAGACGATTGCGGCGGCTGCGACGAGGGTTGTGACACTGTCTCCTCAGATCCACCAACGGCGCCCAGTAACTGGTCTGCACCCTCGGAGGTGCTGTCATTGGAGGGCTGTGAAGGAGACAGTAAAAAAAGAAAAAAAAAACGAGCAAAGTGTTGATTACAGCGAGCCGGTAAATTACGACAAAACATGTCGGTCGAGCCAAGATTCAGTTCGTGCAATGCGCATCACATGCACTTTTGAAAAGCAGGCCAAGGTTCTTAGCCAATGTTCTGTAGTCGTACAGTCCTCGTGGATTGAAACGAGACATCGAATTTTTCAGCTGCTCAAATGCTATGCACAATCATTCGAGATAACCACATCATACTGTGACAAATGTGGTCTCTATAAAGATAATGTTGGCTCGTGGAACTATGTGTGCACGAGCTGAAATTACCCCAATAGTACTGGAACTGAACACTGTCGAAATGAATGTATGCATGTTATTTAGCCCTAAGTTGTCCCATTTCCATCCTTGAGTATCATACATCAAGCAGAACACAGAGACACTGATACAATAAGCAAATTGGTACAGGAGACACCAGTATCCATAAACAAAAATATGGGTTGACTAAAAAATGAGAATATTGTGGCTTGCAAGAGATAAGAGAAAAGAATTGCTCGATAGCGTGCCTCAGATAAAAGGGTTCACCTCCACGATTAGCACATGGCGCCATAAACAAAGCTATTTCACGAGTTATTTCGCTGCAAAACATCTCTTACCAGCACCCTATCCAGACACGGCAATAAGAGGTTATTCAATTAGGTTAGGGCGGGATAGTTTAAAACTTTTTTTGCCAGCACATCATCCAGAAGCAGTCAGATTAGGCTAAGCTGCGTTCGTGCCTTGGCAGCGGAATTTCCTCGACACTGGTCTGGACACGTGGTGTGCCACTTTTGTACATAAACACACCTCGCAACAGCATGAGTGCACACGCCACATGCTATCCACCAAAACGCTGGTATACATCAACAATGAACGACAAGATACGCGGACACAAACCACTGTTCACACAAGCCTGATAATAGCGCCTTTGTCAATTGTTAAATATGACCGACTGCTTGCACAAACATCGAACATAAATAGCTCGAGACCTTTTAAATTTCGTCCCGCTAGATCAACCACCAATCAAGAGACGCATTACATATCTGCATATGGCCCCCAGGAAATTACCCACATTTTACTGCACACTTCAAATGTATACATTGACCACTATTCAAATGGCATGGCAGTTCAGCAAAGTACAAGGCCACTGTCTCTGTTGAGGATTTGCAACAATTCCGGCCAGCCCTTTTTTGCAAACATAACGTCGGATGCACCACCAACATGCTGAATAAACCAATAATTGCTCTGATCCACATAACTGGATCTTTTCCACCTGAACAACAGGGACACCAAATTTAATTATGTCCACCTACTTTTCCGGAACTGCCAATTTCCCTGACAAGTCCAGGTTTTCCAGGGTTTCCCTGGCGGTGGACAGCCTGTAAATGGGGGGACATACCTCGTCAACTAAACAACACTGAACGGCGCAAGAAATGCACAATAGGGGGCTCACTGCCAACAAAGGAATGGTTTGTTGCTTGGCTAGGCTTCAAGAATTTTAACGGCCTACAGTGACTCTCGCTTTGAAAGACACCGTAGTGGAGGAGGGCTCGGGGTAATTTAGTCCACCTGGGGTTCCTCACCGTGCACTGACATAACGTAGAACACAGGCCTCCGGCATTTCGCCTTCACCAAAAAGCAACCGCCGCCGCTGGCGATGAACCGCTATGCCTTCCGGGTCAGCAGCCGAGTATCGCAAACCCTGACCCAGCCACGGCGGATTTTATAACAAGGGAAATAATTCTCGCAGCTCGCCTCGCTGAAGGCTAGAACATTGTTGAAACGGGGACCTTCCAGGCTTTTTTTTTTTGCTAGACAGACAGAAACAAGTCTGCCTGTCTAGCATCAGGGCTGTATCGAGGCTACATTCGCCCTGATGTATGACAGGAGGCTTTTTCCTTCTCTAAAAGCTCGAGAGAAGCTTGAATGGTCTTTGTTTCAATGATGCCCCTGCCATCTAGTGGGCTGTCACAGCCTCTCCGAAAAAGGTTGCAGCAGATGTTCTCCGAGCATTTACAGCACAGGAACCACTTGGACATCAGTGTATCGCACCCTAAAACGTCTATTGCGAAGCATTTTAATAATATGCACTAATCGAACCCGTAAATTCTTTTACGAAACAGAGACCGATTATTATACCAACTAACTCTGTAGGCGAGCAGAAAAAGATTGTGGTTTTCGAAATACAGGTGGCCAACCTTGGGGCTAAACTCTACTCCTGGTTAAATGCACACAGCGGTGTCTTCAGAGTGAACATGTGCGATTTCAACACTGTCCCACACCTAGCCACCAGAGAGCGTACTGACCCAGGAGTTTGAGGAGTTGGCTGCCGAGGTGCCCCTATTGTGTCGAGGGACCGGCTGACTATTGCTGGACCCTGTGGAAGCACACTGGCCTCCCAGGCTGCTTGAGCGGTGTATCACAGATGCTTCATCCCCACTCCATACCACGTCTTCCCCACCTGGAGAAAAGCAAAGCAGGGCCAGAAACACTGCTTAGGGCAGGAAAGCGCAAAATCAGACAGCTCCAAAGATGACCTCATCCCCTTCCCTCCCACTTTAAAGGTGGCAGCAAGCAGTTTTTAGACAGTTACACTCAAACCTCGATATACAAAATATCGGTTCATCATCATCATCATCTTCAGCCTGACTATGTCCACTGCAGGACAAAGGCCTCTCCCATGTTCCGCCAGTTAACCCAGTCGATTATATCGGTCAAAACGAAGTAAATAAAGAAGTCTGTAACTTATACAGCGTTAGAAATATACCTTATAACGAATTTTCGGATATAACAAACTTACTTTTGTTCAAGACGCAACTGTTATAATGAGGCTTGAGGGTATGTTATTCGAGACAGAATAATTCAAACTTCATCTATTCTCATGTGCTGACATCAAATAATAGTTTTATTGTACTCTATAATTAAGTGCTAAATTAATTATTCATGAAAACGCTGCTGTATGATAAGCCATCAAATTTTGAATGCATTAAGGAGCACAAGTGTATAATGTTATGGCTCTAGCTTCCCCAAAGCACAATTTATGAAGCTTGAAAATTCTCACTTTTATGAATGGGGTAATGCACTTTATCTTCACCCATTTGAAAATTCCAAAAGTAACATTTGTCATCCCATTGAACTCACTAAAAACTCTGCATTGTAGCAAGACTAAAATTACTGAAGTTAAATGTGCCAAAGCTCTTCTTGAAAGAAGCTTCTCAGAAGATTGCACTGTTATTAAAAACCAAACAGGGAAAATAGCAATGAACGAAACACTATGGGTTGCCGATGAGATGAGCTATGGCCAAGTGAAAGATGGGGAATTTTCTTGGAGAGGCCAGTCTTCGACACAACCAAATAAATACAACAGAAAATTAGACCAGGGAAAGCCTAGGGGAGGAATTGTCAAGAATCCATGAAAACTTATGCCACTAAAAAAGCGGCAAGGCTACGCAACGGTAATGGCAGAAACCAAAACTAATATTTTATGGTAATGACTGGTCTTAAAAATCAGCTTCACCCATAAATAATGATAACAATAATAATAATAATAAAAATAATAATCCAGCTAAATGCTTTCATGGATGAATGAATGAGACGACAATACGCCACTACAGTAATAGAGGGCCTGCGGATAAGGCACAGAGGAAGAGAGAGAGATGGGTGTTCCACCACACTCACCCATGCCCCTCTCGCAGGGGTTCCGGCAGGAAGTCTGCCCCAAGGCTGTGCTGGACGTCCATGCCGCCGACACATTCCCAGCCTCTCGGGACTCCGAGCCTGGCCGCGTATCCCAGGTCTGTCACAAAACACGCATGAACACACAATCAAATATTACTTCAAACAACAGACAACATCCCATTTCATCACTGGTAATAGAAACAAAAAAATTACGAATGAGGTTTTCATCAAAAAGGATACTGACTTTTTTTTTTGCATCAAATGAAAGGTGATGCCACAAACCACGCCCGATATTTACGATTACTTTTCAGTGAAGAAAGTCAAGATGGAACGGAAGGGGGTACATACACCAACATAGAAAGCCAGCAAATTCAGTTTTCTTCATTACAGAAGAATATGCTCAAGAAACCTAACGCTTCATTGTTGCTCGCTCTCGAAGGGTAAGTAATGTAACTGACTTCTTACTTTTTGGAGCAGACTTCCAAGAAAAAAAAAGTACCATAATGTACTGCGCGAAAAAAAAAAAACGAACGCAAACACGAAAGGAGAGAAAAGGACAGACAAATGCAGCTACCCTTTTCTCTTCCTTGGTGCTTCACTCCGTTTTTCGTGCAGTATAATATGGATCATTACCAACTCGTTCAACTAGCCATTCATCAGAAGTACCACTTGGGAGAGGTCATAAGTGTTTTTGAAGCAGAAAAAAATGTAAGCTTGGAGAGCACGATTGACATTTCCGGAGCAGGTGCAAAATTTGCCAAACAACTCCTTTCAAAGCATTGTCAAAGTGTCTCGTATATATATTCGTGCCTTTTATGAAATATTTTTCACAGACAACAATCAATGCAAATTGCAAGAGACAAACAATTAAAAAGCTGGTTGGTTATCGAATGTGCCGTGAAATGAGACATACATTTAAATTACTAGTACTTGTGCCAGAACCGAGGTCAAACCAATAAAGCTGGGCGCTACATTTTAGAAGTAACTACCGTCCCACATAAATGCTGCCAAATAAGGAGTAGACAATCAGAGCAGAAACATGGGAGGCTTACAAAGAGGGCTCAACTTAATCTGAGAATGCAGCAAGCGATGAACAGGAAAATGATACGTGTAACCTAGAAAGACTGGATGATGAGGAGAGCAGAGGGGGTCAGGGAACAAACGGGGGCAATGGGTATCATAGCTGAAATCAAGAAGAAATATACATGGACCACTACGTAGCATAAGCAGAACAGCAGGAAGAGCCGAGCATTGGGAGAGCTAATGTTGCATTGTAGATGCGGTATTGCATGAAAAAAACAAATAACAAGGAAGAGAGCACAGACAGCACATCGGTAAACCTGCATAAGCTGAGTATCTAATCGCCAACCTGTTATTACAATGGTTCCTTTTTCTTTATACTGTAGTTTCGTGTGTATAACCTACAGCGAAAACCCGAAAATTTCAGTGGCATTGTTGAAGCACACCTCAGTGTCACATTACGAGTATGTTTTTGGATGTTTGCGGCTGCACAGTGACCCTCCACACGCCCTTGCGTCATGTACGCCATGTTTACCTTAAAAAAGAGTTTACCGAAAAATGGTCTAAGAAATAGAAAGAAAATATGGTATTTTTGCAAAATGAACAGTAACTGTACTTTACCTAAGACTTCCCGCAACAGTATGAGTTCCACATCAAGTAAAGCATTTTTTTATTTCAGCAAGGCAAATGGGATATCAATAAATTTAAGTACCACTTTTGGCACAGTAGCAGGCATGCATTTTGGTTATTATGCTCCCACAGTGCTGTCAAGAGAAGTTGTCACCCAGTGTGAACTCTTTTCACCTCGCCGATATCACTAGTTCACATCTCCAGCTGTTCGCCAAGACTAGATCTGTTCTGTCACCATGAGTAGCATTTAGCGACAGTGCTTCACCAGACAGCAAAAACTCAAGATCATTGCCGTCACCGAGGAATTTCAAAATTGCCTACAGAAGAAAGCCTACAAGTAATGCACCGCGACTGTAGGTTTTTCACAGCCTTAAGAACGGTGCCTACCCTGAGCCAGAGGTGCAGCTAGCAAATTGTGCAGCTAGCAAAGATGTGAGAAGCAGAGGTCATGTCGTATCGACCAAAATGACCCAAGTGGAAGTGCGGCGATTGTCGAGGGAGCCTACCTCATGGAGTTTGTGCAAGCTGCGGATAAGTGCACCAGTTTATGAAGTGACAAGGGCTCCCTACTGCTTGAGCAGTAGATTTTGTACAGCCTTTTCTGTATATGCAATGTGCTGGGATTTTTTTTTTCTTTCCTGGCGAGCCAAAAGTGTTTAAATAACACCACTGCATAGAATTGGCTACGTCTGCTTACACAGCTGTTTCTGATTGAAGTTCGACCCAAGCTCCTCCGGTGTACCGTTGGAATAGCTGCAGGGCGATGAGCACTCAAAGACAAAGATACCATTTCTACTGTGAGATGTGTCTAAAACGTGCGACATATTCAGACGTTCAAAAATGCGAAATGACACTCCGTCAAGCAAAACATTATTTCCTTGGTTTTGGTAGCGTCTATTTATAAACAGCCTCCCGTAGAAAATGCAGTCATGTTTTCTTTTTTTTTTTTTTCACGCAATGGCACACGCCCACCTCGGTTCCGTAGCCTTTCCTTCATTGTCACAGAAACTTGTTCCCGAGTATAGTAGCCTACGATGATGACAGTATACATGAACATGCACCAGTAAGCGTGAGTGCACCGTGACAATTATAATGACTGTTGAACCCCGCCACAACAAAACTGACGGGGCGCGGAAAAAAAATCGGTTGTAATGAAATCGATAAAAATATCGCTGTTCCGAGCTGGCAAAACAAAGAAACGTTTATTCTCAAAATTCAAAAAATGTCCACTGCTTCCTATTCTTTCCCAGCAGCGTCACGACGTGATTCTCACCCATGCATAGCGAGGCCATGGTTAAAAGCACGCTGAAACAACGCCTAAAACCGCTTTCGTGAACGAACCAAACAGTTGCATTAACATGTTAACACCAGCAGCTGTCCGCCGTCAAAACGCCAAGATGAAGGCAGGGTATCGTGGAGCGGCGACTTTTGCATTATTCTATGCCATTCTTACCATCCATCATTTGCAGCTAGCTGATTTTGTTGAAAATGCAGACACAAAGCCGCTCTGATTAATTACCACACTGGCCAAGCGCGAACATGATGATAAGCATCGGAATCTGAAAAGGCATCATGCCGCGGTTGCAGCCAGCAGCTGCGAGAAGGAAACCATGAACTGAGCGACTGAGCTTCAGCTTCGGATCGTCTGCGGCTCAAAAGCAAGCCAGTGGCAAAACAAAAGCAGGGCAGTCTCATTGCCATCACTATCGAGCAATGGCAACACCTATGCTTGCTGAACAGCGGCGTTTCTAGTGAAGCCAACGCGTGTTTTATACTTCGTTGACGCATTTTCAGGTTGTGAAAATGCATCGAAATGTTAAAGATTGGATTTACTGCATAGTAATAAGTACCTGAGCCTGGAATTGCTTTGTAAAATGTCATTGAAGCGGGACGATCGTTCGTTGTGGCGACAATATTTATGCATTGACTTGCATGGACTACTGACGGGGAATCGTGAATTTTTCGTTGTAGCAGAAATTTCGTTGAACCGGCGTTCCTTGTAGCGGAGTTCTACAGTACATCTTTCTGAAGCTAATTTCAGTACCTACTGTACTGTGATGTCACAATACAGTGCGAGTTACTCGCCCCGTGCCCGCAGAAAACTTCATGACATTTCCAGGACATCTCCACTCAGTGGCTCCGCCAGACATGCAAAATCAGCCTTTTTGCACATTTTTAGATATTGATGCCATCACAACTGGCCATACCAGCGGCTTGGAGTCATGAAAATTGGTACTGTAATGCAATGATGTGATCGGTTGAAATTGCTTCAGCGCAGCTTTTGAACCAACTAAAACCTCGCATTTGATCAGGTTAACAGCCTATTGGCACGGTTAACACGCAACAATTCCAGACACAAATGTTTGCCTCCAAGTGTTGGAAGCTATTTTACCTAACTTAACGCAATGCCGCTGAATTGTCAAGCAACATTCGAAAAATTCGTCGACACAGCCATTCTGAATTGTTTGGGAAGGTTGCGCATAGAAACTATTCAACTATACAGCACTAGAAGGTGGCGAGTTGGTGCACTTCCATCTTAAACGAGTAATAGCGCGGCGAAAACGGGGACTGGAAAGAAAGACACACCACAGCGCTCAAGTCTGTCTTTCTTTCCCGTCCCTATTTTTGTGGCGCTATTATTAGTTTAAGATGGATATACAGCACTTGCCAGTAAGCTCCAACGACCTTTCGAAATTGCAGTGCTACTGTTTACAGGCATGTTCGCCTTCTTTTTCTCCAAAACAGCGGAAGAATGATGCCTTGGCGCAAATCGTGAGGTTTTTGCAAAAATGTAGCAGGATGTAGCAGCTTTCGTACGTTGGCGCAATTGGCAGTTATCACATTACTGCTGATATCACGTGTGTCAACACCAGTACATCATGTGAAAACAACATTTAATGTCAAAAAGTATCCCATCAGCATCCCTTGAGCTTCACAGTCACTTTCTTGGTGGCAACAACACGATAGAGCTGAAGCCTTCACATGTGGAACCTAATAAGATTCTTACGAGACCTATATTTCATTGGTGTAAATTTATGCAATGTGCAGGACTTAAATCTGTTTTTTTTTTGTTTTTGTTTTTTTAGGGGGGGGGGGGGGGATGATAGGCAGTTGAAGTAACATTTTCGATGCGTAGCACCAAGTGCTCATAGTCTTTTTTCCTCATTTTTTTCCTAAAATAAAGCCCAATCTAAATATTAGATGGTGCTGGGAGCCTAATCTTAGTTGGCTACAATTTCTTTTTCAATAACTCTAGCACAGACAGCAAATGCCGATTGTATGCAGAATGGCTAATTGTAACTTGCTTGAAAAACTACCTTCCGCATGTTATAGCAGTGCCTAAACTACATCATATTTTCTCTGTGTAGGCAGCTTAGTTCACCTCCTAAATTAATATCTAAAATACAAAATATTGCACACTCCACATGAGCCCAACAAACTAAATGTTTTTTTAACTAAGTGACACCTCTATTCTAGTACTGAATAACATCTTACATTACGTCCCAAATCCACTACATGATTAACCAAGACGCTGGACTGTGTTAACCTGTATCGACGACTGCATGGGCCTCTACCATTTGACCTCCATCAAAATGCGGCCACCGCTGCTGGTATTGAACCAGCAGCCTTCGGGTCAGCAGTGAAGCACCGCTTCGCTACCAAAGTGAACTCTGGTATGTAAAGGGCTAGATAATAGGGAGATATGAAAATTTCCACAGCGGAAAACTCCGTAAATTTCGACCACCTGAGGTTCTTTAACGTGCACCCAAATCTGAGCACACATGCCTACAGAATTTTCACCTCCATCGAGAACGCAACCGTAATTCAATCCCGCGCCCTGCAAGTCAGCAGCCGAGTACCTTGGTCACTAGACCACCGCGGCGGGGCAGGCACTTGCATGACAACATTGAAGATTCCGCCACCAAGTGGCACCACAGGCTACTTTCGAAATTTTGAATGAATGAATAAAAATATAACTCCGCTTTTCATGAGAAAAACAAGGTTGGTTTGAGTCACTATGAGGGACAACCTTCCCACATGTGCAGTCATCTCATTTCATGTTCTGGGCAGTTGTCGGTCCCTTTAGTGGTCCACATCGCATTAGCGCACTTCAATTCGAATACGTGTGAAAGAGGACCCACTGTTTCCGCGTCCAACGTTGCCCGCATTTACAATGAAATCACAGACATGAGCAGCAGCGGAGCGAAAGTAGCAAGAGCGACAGTAGCAACAACGGCCATTGAACCATTCTCTGCAAAAAAAGAAACAAACTAGAGAACACTTACCCCAGGGTTTCCTTGGCCAAGAAACAGGTCGCTCCTTTTGTCGTCCCCTTGCATCTCACTGTGGGTTCTGCGAACACAAAGAAAATGCAGATTAAGTTCGCCACACTCTTTAAAAGCAACCACTACTGATCCCTCACCAGAGAAGGATTGGCCACCCTGGTGCAGTATGCGGCCACTACCGCCCACATGCATACGTCAATGAACTCACGGCTCTCAGTCCCAAGCAGCTGCGAAGCAACCGACTACGGCGGCTATCAGATCTGCAACGCAGCAGAAGGTGCTAAGAATCTCTGGATCCGGACAGGCCGCCATTGGAACCATAACTTGGCAATGTTTAATGCTAAAACCTTATTTAGTGAGGCAAGTCTAGCTGTACTATTCGAGGAGCTAGAAGGTGTTAAATGGGATATAATAGGGCTCAGTGAGGTTAGGAGGACAGATGAGGCCTATACGGTGCTTCAGAATGGGCACGTCCTTTGCTATCGGGGCTCGGCTGACAGAAGAGAACTGGGAGTGGGGTTCTTTATTCACAGAAACATAGCTGGCAACATAGAGGAATACTATAGCATTAATGAAACGGTGGTAGGTATTGTAATTAAACTGAATGAAAGATACAAGATGAAGGTAGTACAGGCTTACGCGCCTACATCCAGCCATGATGACGCTTCAGTTGAAAGCTTCTAAGAAGAGGTGGAATCGGCAATGAGTAAGGTAAAAACACAGTATACTATAGTGATGGGCGACTTTAATGCAAAGGTAGGGAAGAAGCAGGCTGGAGACCAGGCAGTAGGAGATTATGGCATCGGCACTAGAAACGCCAGAGGAGAGCTACTAGTAGAATTCGCAGAACGCAATAATTTGCGGATTTTGAATACTTTCTACCGAAAACGAGAAAACCGCAAGTGGACATAGAGGAGCCCTAATGACGAAAATAAGAACGAAATAGACTTTATAATGACTGCGCACCCAGGAATCGTGCAGGATGTGGAAGTGCTTGGCAAGGTACGATGCAGTGATCATAGAATGGTACGGTCTCGAATTCGCCCAGACTTGAAGAAGGAACGACAGAAATTGATACGCAAGAAGCCAATCAAAGAGCTAGCACTGAAAGGGAAAGTAGAGGAATTCAGTCTCACTTCAGAACAGGTGCTCTGCTCTTATCGAGGAAAACAGCCTTAGTGTTGACGCAATGAGAAATCTACAGGGGATCAACTGCTACCATAGTGCTTCATAATGAAAGCAACAGAATTCCAATCAAGAAGGGTGTAAGGCAGGGGGACAAAATCTCCCCAATGCTATTTACCGCGTGCTTACAACAGGTTTTCAGAAGCTTAGAAGGGGAACAGTTAGGGATAAGAGTTAACGGAGAGTACCTTCGTAACCTGCGCTTCGCCGATGACATTGCATTGCTGAGTAACTCAGGGGACGAATTGCAACTCATGATTACGGAGTTAGACAAGGAGAGCAGAAAGGTAGGTCTGAAAATTAATCTGCAGAAAACGAAAGTAATGTACAACAACCTCGGAAAGGAGCAGCGCTTCGAGATAGGTAATAGTGCACTTGAAGTTGTAAAAGACTGTCTACTTAGGGCAGGTAATAACCGCAGAGCCTAACCACGAGATTGAAGTAACTAGAAGAATAAGAATGGGGTGGAGCACATTCGGCAAGCACTCTCAAATTATGACGGGTAGATTGCCACTATCCCTCAAGAGGAAGGTATATAACAGCTGTATCTTGCCGGTACTTGTCGCTGCCACTGCGCATGCGTCCTAACGCGAGTCGCCGTTCGCGGCCCGCACGCAGAAAATCCGAAATAGCGTGCGGCAATCGCGGCCCGCAAAGTGCTGCTAGTAGCTTCCGTGCATTTGGGGTGCGGTCGGGGCGAAAGTCTAGACTTTTCCCAAGGGGGGGGAGCAAACGCTATTCTAAAGCTCATGTGGCAACCGCTATGCCCGCAGCCCCTGCAAACGTTATGCTAAAACGCTACGCCCGCAAGCTGTGCGTACGCTATTCGACGCGAAAAGTCTCTCGCGGTCAGGGACAACGAAAATCGATCCAACGTTTAGGCAATACGAAACGATCGACCGCCAACTGCGCAGCACTGCAACGACATCAACAGGTGCCAGTATAGCTCGTGCAAACTGTCGTAGGATGTTGGCAATCTTACCCTGTCGATTGTAATCTTGCTCAATCGACATTACGCTGCAGCACGATCGAAAGGAGGGCGCAATTAACATCTAATTAGCAATTTACTGCATCCCATGTGAGTTGTGAGCCAACTCCGAGTTCGTTCTCACGAAAACACTGAACGACATTCACCTTGACCGCGCGAACCAAGGTGATATAAAAACGTACAGAAAGGACTCTGCGCCCGAATCTATGGCGACAAATAAGTCACTGCGTAGCAGGGGTACTTTTTTTTTTTCATACAACAGGTGGTGACACCTGACGACCAACACAACAAACTTGGCGATTGTGTGAACTGCTTGGCGGTTGTGTTGCTGTGTGCGCGTGCTTGTGGTGATCGTGTAAACATCAGCGGCAAAGCGAAGCGACCCACCTTCAAGAATGCAATCGGCGGACCAATGAAAACCCCGGGCCTGTCAAGACGCACTTGGTACGTGATGACATGCATTACTGCATATTACCCAGCGCAATACAAACCTGAACACCTAGGCCTAACGCACTGAGACCCGCACGACAAGCAAACGGACAACATGCGCCACCTATGTCCCGGCAAACATAACTAAAATCGGAACTCTCCCAGGCGGCAATTTCAAATAGAAACTGGTGCCCAGCCTTAAGAATAGCCTATCGGTAACATATAGCAAATAGAGGCAGAACAACAACACAAATCGAACATCACACCTACACAAAATAACACTACCATTTTATGAGAAATTATAGCAACATGACCCGGACTCGCCGAGGTGCCCCAACAAAAGGAACCAGTGCCCGTGTAGAGGAGGACTCGTCGGACGGAACAGTAATGGTAGAATGTGAGACCTGCCAAGAATGGGCAAACATTGATGACACCCCGTTCTCCAGCACACAAGAAGCCCAGGCAGGCAGATACACGTGCAACCTCTGCACGAGACTCGCAGCAATGCAGGCTTCAATCGCACTTCAAGAAATAAAACTGCGTGCCGAACACTCACAACAAATTAGCCAAATAAAGGCCGAGTGGGAAGCTGCTCAAGCGGAAGCTAAAATAGATAGGCAAAACCTACACACTTTGCTGAGCACAGAGCGCAACTTGCGTGAAAAACTCGAGGAAGAGATTGGTACCCTCCAAACCCAAATAAAAAAACTCGAACAGACAAACAGTACTCAGGACGCCCAAGAAAACGGAGACCAGGCTACCTCAACTCCTCGACACGACTCCGGGACACCAGAGCCAAAACACCCCTCAGACAAGCAATTTCGCAGCCAGTGGAAGGAAGACAGTCCATCACAGGGCACAAGCAGGATAAGTGAAGACATTGAGCACACAGTTGAGCTAGCAGAGGAAGGCAATCCTGGGACACAAGTGGGCAAAAAAGGCCGACCCTTGAAAACAGAGAACACCAGCCAGAAACAGCAGCAGCTCAGCGCTGACCATAAACAGAAACATCCCTATCCTCAAATGCAGTCAAATGACCATCCACCACAAAGCAAACGCACTGTAGTCCTAGGCGACTCCAATGCCCATCGATTGAAAAAGCACCTCCGTAAAGCTATACATGATCAAAGACTACGCATCACTACAAAATCTGGTGCCAATCTTGAAGAAACACTTCACCGAGCTGAAGGAGAAATTCAGAAGGCAAATGCCACCAACACAGAGCTGCAACTAATAATACATGTAGGTACTACTGATCTTTTAAATAAAGCAGACATTAAAAAGACCACTGACCACCTGAAGCAACAACTGACTTACTGGAGCCAAAAGACACCCAAACACCACTACATAGTCAGTGCCATCCCTGAACCGAAAGCAAGGGGTCAACAATTTGCTACAGCATGCCAAACATGGAACACGGCAGTTCAAACGGCGTGTACAGCCTTGGGCCCCAGTGTGCGGTTTATGTCAGCAGCCGCCCAGCTAACCGCAGATCACCTGGATGATATCCACTACTCGGAACAGGCAGCGGACCAGGTTGGCAGCCAACTAGGTGAGGCCATTAAATCTTTTTTATGGGACAAACAACCAACGCGCCCACAACACTGGAGACGATCAACAAGACCAGATCAAAGGACAGTGCAAACGCTACTGAAAGCAATGACAACAGCCCTAGGCAAAATAGGACAGAGAAACCGGCACTGGTAAGCAACCAAGCAGGCAAAACCATACGCACAACCCCCCCCCAATTTCAGTCCTCCAGAGATCATTGTCAATCACTTTCCAGAAAAAGAAGAAACAGAAGAACAAAGCAGAGTGAAGTGAAAAAAGAACTCACCATATGCCTACTAAACATGCAAGGAACAAACAAACTCAAGTGGGCTGAACTCCAAGACCAAGTGAACAGACAAAAAATAGATATCTACGCTCTAACGGAAACTCACCTGCGGGACGACGAACAACCTCTGCTCCCGGGGCTAGTATGGCAAGGAAAGAACAGAAGTAAAGGACAAAAACGGGGTGGAGGCATTGGTTTTATTACACCGAAGAGAATCACTGTAAATGGGGACTGTCAGGACAAGGAACACATGTGGATAAAAATAAAGATTGACACACGTGACCTGTACATTTGTGTCATATACATGGCAACAGGCCTCGAGGAACAAAAGTGGAATGACAGCATTTACGCATGCCTCAAGAAAGACATTGAAGAAACCTACAAAGGCCAACCGATACTACTGATGGGAGATTTCAACTGCCACATAGTAGAATTGGATGGTCACGAAAAAGATGCTGCTGGCTTCCGAAAATTAATTAAACAATGCAACCTACAAATAGCAAACCTCCATCCAGCTTGTGAAGGCACCTACACATGGTCACGCAGAGCTAACAAATCTGCTATAGACTACATACTTTACAATCAAGAGGTAGTAAGGCAAGATATAAACATCACAGCTCTGTACATAGACGAAGACAAAACAAACAGCTGTGGAAGTGACCACAACCGAATGAAACTGTGCCTCAGACGCCATCAACCCCATCGAGTAAACCGGCCTGAAACTACGAAAGCTCACTGGCGAGTGAAAGAGCAAGAGCGCCTGGATGAATTTTCCAATAAACTCGAGTCAACATTAACAGAACCTCTAACATACGAGGAATTCGCAGAAAAATGCCTGTCAGTAGCACAAGAAACCATTGGGAAAACTAGTGAAAAAAAAAGGACCAGAAACACACCTTGGTTTGATGGAGAACTGAAGACAGAAATTCGCATTCGCAAAGAATTATCCAGAAGGCACCGTCATACGCCCAATGAGTCGACAGAAAAAGAGGTAATTTGGAAGGAATACCTGGCCCAAAAAAGAAAAGTAAAGGAAATGGCCGCAAAAAAGATAGACCAGAAATTCCAAAAAGAAGAAGAAAACCTGCATAAGGATCGTAACCATTACAGTCAGAAGTTTTGGGCATACATAAGGACACTGGAACCAAAGGACACCCTTCAGGAAGATCCACTCATACTACTTACTGAAAATAGCATTCCTCTACATACCAAAGAAGAAATTGAACAGCACATAACTAAACATTTTAAAAATATGCAAACCAATCCAGTAGATCCATCACCCCAGATCAGCAGTAGAAAAAAGGACAAGACCAGCACACCTGAAGAAGAAAAGCTGACTGGACCAATTTCTAAACTAGAACTAAAGAGACGCATAAATGATCTAAAAAACCAGAAAGCAACAGGACTCGATGATATACCCAACGAATTCCTGAAAGCATTCAAAACAGAGGCAAAGGAAATGCTACGCGGCTGCCTCAACGACATTCTGGCAAGCAGAAAAATACCAAGAACTTGGAAAGAAAGCCGGGTAAAGCTGATTCACAAGGGAAAGGGAAAGGAAACAAGTGACATTGGGGCGTATCGCCCCATAACAATACTGAGTAACATTCTGAAACTCTTCAATACAATCCTGAATCGCAGGCTACAAAACCACTGTGAAAAAACCTTAATCTTGTCAGAATCGCAAAATGGATTTCGCCCAAACAGACGGACAAGTGACCATATCTTTACCCTAACCCAGGCAATAGAAATGAAAAACAGAGACAAATCTCAACTATACCTGGCTTACCTGGATCTACAACAAGCATATGACTCAGTGCCGCACTCACGACTGTGGGAGAAGCTAGAAAAAATTAATATTGAGGAAGACTTCATCAAATTACTAAAAGCACTATATGCAGAGTGTACGGCAGTGTATGAACTGGGCAAATATAAATCTAGACAGGTGCAACAAAATATTGGACTCAAACAAGGGTGCCCACTATCGCCAACATTATTCAATATTTACATTAACAGCCTACTAGAACAAGTAAATAGAGAAGGACCAGGGCTACGTCTTTCCACCGTAACAACTGAGCGCCAAGAAATCTACACTAAAATTTCATGCTTGGCATTTGCCGATGACATCGTATTATTGGCTGAATCCCCAGCGGACCTGCAACATCTCCTCGACATATGTTCTCGCGTAGCCCACGAAGATTGCCTCACATTCAACACTGACAAAACACAATGGATGGGCATAAACATTGATGACAAAGACATAACATTCACCATCCAAGGCAACACCATCAAGAAAACAGCAACATACAGATATTTAGGCATAACAATATCAGACCAAAAGAATTACCTTGACAAACACCAAGAATTACTCCTAAAACAATCCAACCGCCTAAAAGGTAGGGTGTGGCACCTGTCACGGCATTCCTACAACCCCTACAGGGTAGGCCGCACACTTTGGAAGACTCTTGCCGTGCCTGCAATAACCTACGCAGGTGACACATTGGCGTACTCTACCCAAACAGTGCGATGTTTGGACCGCCACCAAAATGAACTGGGGCGCTGGCTACTGGGAGGCAGCTTTGCAACAGCAAACGCAGCAGTAACAGGGGAGTTGGCCTGGTCAACTTTCGAAGCACGCGAAGCAAGGTCAAAAATACAATATGCGGGCCGGCTAAAGTTTCTACCAGAAACAAATTACAGCCAGCGCATATACCTACACCTTCGATACAGGGGCATAAAAACACAGTGGATGAAACGACTGGCTTCTCTGGAAAATAAATTCGGCCATAACACAAAACTGGAAGAAGCAAAATCGGAACGAGAATGGCGTATAATAACAAAAAACACTATAACCGAAGCCAGCACAGAGATGTGGCGCACGTCGGCGGCAAAGAAAAGGAGCCTACAGTTATACCTCGAATACAAGCAGGCTCCAGACCGTGAGCCATTTTACAGGGGCGACCGGGAAAGCGCCCTCCTGTTCCAGGCCAGGACGGGGTCACTGCCCACGCGGAAGCGGCATTGGGAACTGTTCGACACGGACCCGTCGTGCCGCCTATGCGGGGCCACGGAAGAAACCATCCAACATATCCTGATGGATTGCCCGCGACTCGGAGCGAGGGACCTACCCAAGATAAACCTGGCGGAATATCTGGGTCTCCCAGATGATCCCGTCGACACCCGAGTCGAACACACCGAGAGTGCCAAGCGACGTCTAAAACTCTGGGACAGACTGTGCTGGCAGTTGGACAAACACCCCGACAGTGTCCAGCGCAACGAAGGGCCGACAGAAAATATCTAAACGACGCCGACGCCACTGGATAGACTTGGCCGAGGGCACGTTTCCCCTGGTGGCGAAACTGGCAATTTACTACCAGACCTTTCTTTCTTCGAACAGTAAGGTGGAAAACGTGTGAGTGCGTGTTCGCGTGAAGTGCGTGTAAAACACAAAATGTTTTTTTTTTTTTTTTTTTTTTTTTTTTTTTTTTTTTTGACGGTGGCGCGGCAAGCGCCTGACTGGTGATGTGTGTGTGCGTGTGTATGGATGTGCGTTGAAGCGCACAACTTTGTCCTGTGGCGCTGCTGGCGCCTGCCCTGTGCCAAAAGGGATTAGGAGCACCTACTTACTTACTTACTTACTTACTTAACGCCGCGGTCTAAAAAAAATTCTTAAAAAAAAAAGCTCAATGGGCGGAACGCGCCATCTGGTGCTCGACAAACGAGACGCGAAGGAAAACTCCCGAAATCGAACACCGCCGCTACGCGCCGCCACTGGCGCAACACACGCACATACACAAGACGAAGCAGCGGTATACAAACACACACACACACCAAAACACCGCCGCGGCGCAAGAAAAACAATGCCTACTACGTTTCGCACGAGAAACGCGGAGCGTGCCCCTGGCTCGGCACCAGCTGAACGCCAGTTTCCTCCACTGACACAGAGCCGTTTCAACAAACAAGTGCACTGGGGAGAAGAAAAAAAAATCAATACTGCTACGTCACGGGCCGATCAATTGGCTCCTGCCGTCGACGATTCAAAAGGCTCCCAGCCACCGCAGGCCGTCTTTTCCTAGCTCGCTTAACTATTACTACTACCACCAGCACTATCACCTAGCGCACACGCCAATAACCGCGCGGCTTGATCGCGCCGCACGGACAGAAGACAAGTGCCCGTTCGTAATCTGCGTATAAACAAGTGGGGGTGCGAAAAGCGCCAGCACAAATCGTGAAACCATTACGCTCCCTAGCGCGGAATGGCAAGCAACGTTGTTTAATTTTTTCGTTTGTTTCACTGGATGCGCATCGATGTTTCGCTGCCGCCGTGTCAAATCGAGGCTACACGGCAGTGGCCAACCACGCTATAGCTGCACGGTTCTCTACCAAATGCGGTAAACTGGCGCGTCACAAACATAACAGAAAAATGGTAACACTACACCACGGGAGACCAAGCAACACACACAAAAAAAATCAAGCCGCGATTTCGCGTCGCACTATCGGCGACAAGAACGGAGAGTAGGTCAAAAATAGCATCAGCTGTTGCGAACAAGGCTTAGCGATGGCGGTACACAAACCATTCACAGCCAAAGCTCCCACCGCTCTGTGCGCGGCGACCCGAAGCGCACGGTGCTCCGTGCGCCGAAAAACGATGCCACGAACAGGCGCAGAAAGACCGAACGCACCGCGCTATGCAACCGGCCGATCGACGTTGACGATTCAAGGGCATCTAGGCCTAACCGGCCAGCTTCACAATAAGCCGCTCTCGGGACTCTGGAACACTTCGCCATTCCGCCGTTGCACGGTCATAGCCGCATCCGGATACTCAGCGCTACACGCGCGCACGAGCGTGCAACAGAAAAAACTCTGCGGTACTCACTTGTACTCAATTTTGCTCGTCCAACTTCAACAACGGTCCAACATCCATCTGAGCATTTCGTATAATTGGACACATTCACAAGGAACCATCGGGTATGCGAGCAGCAGCCATGTTGGCTGCCTTGACTGGCCGTGGCAAGGAGGGCGGTGCGCGCTCCCGCCGGAACAGCCGTCCTCCTCTCCCAACCACCCCTCCCGCGCGCGAAATGGACTCGCCCTCGAATCGTAGCAGACGGACCGGCGCTGTAGCAGACGATGCTCGATTAACAAACGATACTCGCCCTAGCTAACGCGCAGGTCTAGTTTGGAGGGCTTTTTTATCCTTATTGTGGATATTTCTGCTCGGCGAAACACCACGGTGTTCGTGAGAATAACGAAAAAACGTAGAAGTTTCATCGATACGGCGTTTTATTAAAGCGGAGCGGAAGGGGGCCCCCCGCTTATGGCGTTCCGTCCGTCGCCGAACAACGCAAAAAGCAAGAGCGAAAACGAGGTCGCCTCTCTACAACCACCTCTCTCTCCGTCCGCTCTCAGACCTGAGACCACCGTGTTTTTTGATGACATTTTGTGCTTCGTTGCAGGAGCGGTCGGGGCACGTGACTTCGTGCACCTTCTCTCGAAAGCTTGCCCGGTTTCGGGCACGGCAGCGAGCTGCGCCTTGTCTCGGTCGGCGGAGGAGCAGCAGCTTCATACCCTTGCGAGAGGAGCCAGCCGCCGACACAACAGTCCTTGCTTTGAGCCGCCGCGATAGTATGTAGCGCGCGGCTGGCACAAATTCTGACATTCCTCGCCATCTCGCACACACCGGCGCCGCGGGGACTTTTGTTTTCTTTCTCGCAGTCTGCGCTGGCGGCGCGCACGTAATCACGCCGCAAAGTGCAATTAGGCTCGCGACGCGCGTGAATGAACCCAACGCAAGCAGAGACCCCCCCTTGTTTGTCGGCGGCCCGCTAAATAGAAAAACGGTTGTGGCGAGTGGGGCGACGTATTCTTCACATCGCCTTTGTGAACCGTTGGCCGAAACGCGTAGAACAAATCCGAAACAAGCGGAAAGGACGAGCGCGTCGTCTTGCAACCGAGAGCAGACGATATCTTATCTATCGAGAGCGCGTAGATTAGAAAAGAGCGAAAGCTGCGTACGGTGTCGTACGCGCCAGTTTCTGAAGTTTTTGTTGTTGTTCTCGATCACTGTACGGTGCTCCACCGCTGTCCGGGCGCTATTCGAGGTGGGATTACGTAAAAAACGTTATAACACGTTAGCTCGCCCACGTCGGCCTCACCGAGCGCGTCGTCTGCTAGGAAAATTCCGAAGTTTTCGTCTGCTGCCCACTGTAGTCACCTGTTCGCGAGCGCAACGAGGTATGTAGGAAAGAAAAAGACGTAGATTACACAGTCGAGTGGTTACGCAATATAGCGCGATATAGATATGGGTAGACAAAGCTCCGCAAGATAGTTCGATCTAGCTATCGGAAAGACAACCCGGAAAAGATAACGTGCCAAGTGGACGGTGATAGCCGGAGTGTCCCTTCGCAAGATGAATTCCAAATTACGATCGTGCACATGATTTTCTTGGGAGGACAACTTCGCATTTGTTTGCATTAACGTTCCGCGATGATTTTCACGTAAGGAATACGCTCTATCACAAAAAGAAATAGATTTTCTTCAGAATGTCGGCACACGTGATGTTCATGGCGCGTTATCACGATGATTACTCGGTTGTTAGGTGAATTCTGTTTTCTCTGGTCTGTCATTCCTCTTATTTGTCAGATACTGCTCAAGTATATATTGCGCGGTTCCAGCAAATAAATCTTGTTGTAAGTCAGGGCCGCTGTCTGTCTCCTTCTTGTCCCTCGATGTTGGCGCTGTTTTTATGTAAATAATGTCATACCAACTCACCCAAGCAACCACGTTAGCATACGATAAGGCGTAAATGAAACGCGATTTCATTATCTATCCAACAAACCCGCAGTCCTGGGGGCGCAGAAGTGAAAAGAGGAAAAAAAAACGAATTCACGTATAACCCAAGGGCGCTATTTCTAGTTATTGCCATAAATTAAAAGCAAACGATCTTCTTATCAACCCCCCAACCGCATGTGTTGGAAAATAAGGTGACAATGAGCAAATAATCGAGCGGCGAATAGTAACAGCTACACAGCGAGAGCCGGTTATGTATCTCTCCTGCACCTCCAAATGTTTGTTGACTTAAGCTCTGACAACATTTGTCCTTCGATAGAGAGCAACAATGCAAGGACGGCGTGAGAGTTGGCGAAGGTGACGAAGTGATAATCCTTTCGCGCTAAGTGATAAGGCGTCTGTGCTGATTGGAACTGCTAGGACAAGGCAAATACGCTTCAAAGTATCCTCGGGTGTCATGGAATCGCGTTGAGAATCAAGGGTGGCAGACAATCGTTTCCGTGAAAAGACATCCAGAGGTTGCCAGTAGCAGACGACACGCGCGTGGCGTGTCGATAAGTGCTGCACGTTCCACGACATGTATTCGGAAAGCGTCAATGTTCGCTAGACGAGAGGCGCTGTTGTGATGGTTGCGTGCGCAAACGCTCAACACCGAAACATCGCACAACCAAGAGCAGCATTGCCTCAGAGATTAAACAGAGACCAAATATACCGTCCCGAGGCAAAAAAAAAAAAAACCAGCGTGGTTTTTCAAATCAGCGCAAGACGGCACGATAGTCGCACCTTCTCAAAATGGCTGGCTCTGCTCACAAAGCACACAGAGCTAGATGCTTCTGTCTTGCGTTTCTTTCCAATAAACTATACGCTTTGTTAAAAACACTATGTGACCCGAATATTTGTGCATAATAGTTGTATGTATTATATAGTCCACAAGACTATGAGCAAAAAATTAAAGCACGAACATCACGCATCTAAGGCGTGTATGGCCTCAAAGATTCAACCTATCATATTGACGCGACCATTGCAGTGCGGCAAATGGTGGAATTCGTAGAGTTTCATACACCAACTCTATGTCTTAAACTTAAAAAGAGTGACCTAGAATTCTAGGTCCCTCTATGCATGAAAGATGTTTCATACATGGAGGAAGGAAAGAACTTCCACCGTGCTTCATGGTTTTGATACAGAATTTTATGATAGTTTTATACAATATAGCGGGCAGAGGTATTAAATAATACGAGTTGCAAAACTGTGTTCCGATATCCCGACACGCAGTTGGCCCAATTTTTCGGAAGTTGGCTGACGTTTGCGTCACCTGGGAGCAACAGCGCAAAACACAAATCATCAAAGTGGCGGGAAAGTATGTTCACTCCCAATAAGAGGGCCAACGATGTGTTAGAATTTTGATACATGGAGGCTATGGGGAGTTTCGCAACTCATATGATTGAACAACTCTGTATAACGGCATCATTGTCTGGCCGCCATTGAGGAGAAAGACTACTGTGTGTTTTGACATAGAAACCATCGTGAGAGCACAGCTAAACAGGTCACACCTGAACGAACAGACGAGAACAGGCGCACATTGCGCTGTCTAATGCTAAAATCCAATTGCTATACTTGAAGGAGTCGATTCGCCTCAGTTGAGCTTTAATATACATACTGTGTCTGAAACGTGGATTCGGTGATAACTTGCAAAAGTTGGGCCAGTTAATCTTAAGCTTGTTGTGGACAATCAGGAAAAGGAATTTTAATCTTTCCACTGCTGTCCTTGTTTTTAAAGCAGAAATATTTACATAACGGCACAGTTACGTAGGAGAGAGACAACGAAGACATTTGTTAAAGATGAATTAATCTAGCTGCTTAGCGTTGGACTGGATCCAATTTGTGTAGGTTTATTGACGTGTAAGGGTCCCACACTATTTCGGCATATTCTGTACGGGTCATATTATGGTTGCAATGTGCTAGGTTTTTTTTTATTTCCCATTGCGGCGTCTCAGGAAATCAGAAATAAAGAGTAGAGTGATGGGAATGGAGCCCCGGGTGGGAAAGAGCAGAGTCTCGTAAAACGATGAGTGCCGAGACAAGGATTGGGCGAGGAGGTGGGTGGCTTGCCATAAGCGGAAACTCTGCCAAGTTTAGCGGTACAACTAAATAAATAGCAATCACATTCTGAGGCGGGATTCCAACCTTTTTATTTATTTATTTATTTATTTATTTATTTATTTATTTATTTATTTATTTATTTATTTATTTATTCCTCAAAGGTCCCATAGGGACATTACATGAGGGGTGCCCATTGTCAACCTGGGTACCCATTGTCCGAGGGCGAGCGTATAGCCACCTGATCGACTATCCATGAGGCGTCAGCTGAACAGCTCATAGTCATATAGTATAGCAAAAACGTGTGGTACCCGGGATAGCTGACCGCGACTGCGAGCTGAGAGCGGAACAAAACACCGTTCCGCAAGCAGGTATGCGAGACAGCGGGTCACTTTCGGTTAGAAAAAAAAAACAATGAAAGATCGCATGCAAATTGGCATTGTTCCCCTTTTACACTTAACTAGAGATAAAGTCTTCACTTGCTTTCTTTGCACAGGTCTCCACTCCGAATCCCCACCCCCTAAAGAAAAAGAGAGAATATTGTTTGCAGAAATATGCGGTAAAAAGCTCGTTAATTTGAACTCGAAGGGCCTTATAAAATTATTAGAATCAAGTGGAGTTTGAATTAGCTGGCGAGCGATAGAATGAACGGACATCGCACCAGTCAAGTGATGCGCCAAAAGCAAACAGTGACATGTGTTCATGTGAGCAGATAAGTCCTAACGTTCATTTACATGGCAAAGTTAACTCAAATCAAGACTCGGTCATTTGAATTCGCTTTGCGCCTTTTTCTGTGCCGACTTCCTGAGCATCATTTCCAGTTGACTCAAGTGCTCCAGCGCAGCGTTCGAACTTTCAGCTGCTGCTTTGTTGTTTTGCATCTGTAGTAAATTTGGTTCGGCTTGGTTTAGCAACACATTAAGTGCGATCACTCTGGGTGGTAGTGGAGGGCACGTGGACTGGTTTGGTGGACTGACTTTGCGAAGGGTGACAAAAGTCGAGAGGGTTTCCAGTTCGAACTATCGGTGGTTCAAAGGGATTTTAGTGTAGCAGCTCAGGAGATTACCTGCATTTTAATGGTTAACTAGAACAAAGGGCGCTCCAAATTAAAAGCAA